ACCAAAAAGGAGGAAGTTGTTTCTTTCTGCCTTTGGTCATGCACACCCTTTTCCATCCTTAAACCTTCATAGCATTTTCTCTTACCCACCAAGCATATTTTGTGTGGAAGAAATAGGGTGGAAAGAATAAGAAGATGACAGCTGCCACAACCTTTTTAACTAACAGTAACAGGAAGTGAAAAATAAGACAAAAAGATATCAGTTAAAAGTGAAAAATGTGTGTTAATTCGTCTTTCTGTTTCTCACCTTAGTAATGAAAAGCAAAACACCCAACTTATTTCCCCTTGTTCATTTCTCCTTGATCCTCTTTTCTTTTTTGGTATTATTGCATTATCCATTCTTTTTCCCTTTTTTTTTCTGCTGAATGGCATTAACTTCGGGCCATTTCATTCTTTACCTTCAATCTGTAAGTTATGAATGTGCAATGCCAGATGAAAGAATTTGGTTAAATTCATGTATGAACTATGATTGCGGCAGAAAAAAATTAATGTGTTGCAACTTCAAATCAAGTCAACTTTACAATGAAGCTAGACTCATTTTCAGTACGATTCTTTCTTAAGTTTAAATCATGTGCAAGTTCAGTTCACCAGAAGATAAGACGAAAGTTAATTTACCCCCAATGTCTCTGCTGCCATCAGCACATAGTTTGGTTTTTCGCAGAAACATCATGACCTTCAAACACTGACAATTCAATTCAACTTTATCACACTCTCCCTTGAGTTTACCACATTTCCAAAGAATTTATGCACACGTAGCAATTAATTCATGAAATCCCAAATGCCTTGCTGTCCCCAATTATTAAAACCATGGGTTATTGAATTTAGCTTTCAATAACATTATCAAGACATCTACACCACATGCACATGAGGAATTGAAAGAGAGGGTGGGTGGGGTGGGTATATGTTGTTGGAAAACACACGGTTTGGTCAGGAAAAAATTTATAATTGAATGAATATCAAAGGTGGAGGTGCACACTGCAGCAGAAGAATTGGTGGACCCTTGATTGCCTTCATAGTGGTCCTAAAACAAAAAGCCAGGTGAGTGAATCCCCACGGATTTAATGCTAAGAAAGGTGCCCTCTCCAACTCGGGCGCCCCCCAATTTTGTCTAGTTCAATGCCCTTCAAATTAGGGTGTGGGGGTTCCTTGTACAGGGGTCTGGTTTCCTTTGTGTGTTGGCACATTGGCCTGTTTTGGGACCACTTATTCTCATCTAAGTTGTATTTGTCATCCTTTTTCTATACTGTCATGGCCACTTGGGGCACCCCACAGCTTGGAAGCTCTCCTTTTCTTTTTTTTGTTTTGCTCCATTTGAGCTTTAAACCTGACCCTGGTGTCCAATGTCGGTATATTTTTAATTCCAAGTTACTGCTCTTTTCCCTTTGTTTTCTGCTATGAAGTATGGGGTGAAACAGTGGTTTATGATCACAGCAGTTCAGCACCGACTGGCTAAAACAAAGTACAAAGAAACAGATCCAAGCTATGATAACCTCTAAAAGGGCCCAAAGTGTTTGTGTTGGTGAGAACAAGATTAGATACCTAGTAATCAAAGTGTTGAATATGATTAAAGAATAAGCACACATTTTGCATCGTGTGTTTTCTGTTTTTGGTGCCGAATCGAAATTATATTCTACTTAAAAGTTTCTTTATATACATAAGAAGATCCATTGTCAATTCAGGCTCATTTCCTGTAAGTTGCTTGCATGTTTCTAATAATGTGCTCTTGTCTGATGAATTTTCAACACGCGTTTTCTTCAGCTGAAATTTGATCGGAAAGTTCAAAACAGGCACTCATTGGTTTGTTGAACCCCCTAGTCAATAATGGATGCAACTACATTTTTACTTTTAAAAGTTATAGGAACCTTTCAGTGTATTTAGCCTGATTGAAGCAAATCTCATGTTCAATTTGCCGTCAAAGTGGTTTGAATCCAGTTACAATCCATGTGTTTTTTCATTATTCTGCACAAAGTTTAACAGTTTTTTCCCATAATTTACCTAGTTTAAGTTAGGTAACTTTGTAGTTCAAATAAGTTCTATAGCTTGAAGGATAGGCATAAGGAAATGAACATGCAAAAATATTGCCAGTGCTTTCTTCAATAAATTTGATTCACTACCAGAAAGTGTACACGTCTCCTAGCTTAGAACCAGACACGAATCAGAATCTTCATGTACCAGCAATGCTGAATAGTCCATATCAGACAGGAATTAGTACAGAGTCAAAGCTTTTACCGACGACCCGCCATTCCTATTAAGCATTGAATTTTCCAACTCCATTGATGAGTCATATCTCAATGCATATCCAACCTGGAAATGTTAGTGGATCAAATTCTGCAAAACAGACCTACACCTTGATTCATATTTGTTATGCATTGCTGTCCCTGTAGGGGCGTTTTGGGATTGAAGGGAAACGTGCAAAGCAAAATCAGCTGCAGCTTTCATTGGGAGGATGCTGTGGCAGAGGCCACAAGTTTTAACTAACCCCTTCTAAGATTTTTAGACCCTGTTGCTATCGCTGCATTGCTTGAGCAATAATGACCTAACGGTGTGAGCCATGCCATGGCCACGGACAGCATAGCACAGCTCAAACATCCGTACTAAAACTTGTTGGATTCCTTAAAGTCGTAATAGAAACCCTTTACACATTTAAAACCATGGCTTTTCTGGATGAAATGAATATCAGCAACTGTAACCCAAAAAAAAAAAAAACCCTACTTCAATGTCAATGCACGATCATCGATTTGTTTCTTTTCTTTTGTTTTTATTTGGGAGATGAAACAGGACTGAAGGGAAATGCAGAAAAGATAGACGACAGCCGGACAAGGAAAAAACTCTGAGCTGTCCTAAGAAGAAGAAAAAGAAAAAAGATATTTTGCTTCTCTACCAAGGATACTGAACTTAGAAGGGATTAATTGATTCTTTGACTAATTTTTTCACTTGTATGGCGTGGTTGGATGCAAGGATTCGTATTCAAGCACTCCCGAATAACATTTTCAACTAAAATTAAGTGATTTTTAAAAATTTAAATTTAAATTGTTAGTAATGATTGATTTAGATTTTTATGTAAATTTTAAAAATTACATCTATACATGATATTTGATATGAGATAATATGAGATCTCACACATCATCTTATGAGCAAAAGAGATCCGAATAAGATTTTGCATCATCTTATGAAGTGTTGAAACTCTAGATCAAAAATTTATTAAAAATCATTTATTATTTAAATTTTGATAATTACTGTAAATACTCTGCTTTGAGAACATTCGTCCCTATTATTTCTAATGAAGTATATATATAGTGATGTTATTTCCCTTTTTTCTCTTTCTTTTTGGATCATTTGATGCATATCTGCAGTTGTGAACATGTTTGGTTCTTCATGGATCAAGATATAGATTGTCTAGCATGCTCCTCTAAATTCAAACCATAGAAAATGAAACCTGGAAAATAACATGCTGGTAAAACGATTTGGTTCATTTTTGCTAGAAAGAACGAGATTTGAAACAAGAGAGTCTATCAAATATTAGGCGTTGGATGGTCTGTGTATCAATATAGCAGAACAAGAATAATAATGATCAAACAGCATTTTAATGCGCACGGGTGAGGCTGAAATGGACCCTGATGCTGATAACTTTGAATGTTCATCTAGCGTCAATTGAGCATCCAATGGAGCTCATTCAGACCAGAGGACAAGGTGGGACTCATGCTCGGGGGGTAATAATAGGTAGTGTCTAATGATGACCATGTTTCATATCTTCTCCTTTCTAAGGTTTGATCTGATTTATTTTGCTAAAAATATAGAGTTCCTCATGAGCCTGCTACTTCCTCATATTGTTGATAGCTACTACAGTACTAGTAGTTTCCTGCTTTAATACTTACCTAAGGAAAAGCTAAAGATATGTAGTTTTTTAGCTTTGCAGCTTTCTTAAACATTGGAAATTCAGAACCCGTTTGTTGAAAAGATATAATCAAGGTGAAATAATAGCACTTAGGCAACACAAGACTAGCAACCATTGGAATGTGTAGCTCATGAAATGATTCTGGGAAAACTAGTTCAACCTAAAGCCTAAATGATGACCTGCAGACTGCATAGTAAAAGTTAGCCTAGATAATGAAAAGCACAAGGACCAATGTATAGATTAAAGATTAACCCTATAATCTCCTTAAACGTGATTCTTAGGAGGCAAAAATTTTAGCTCTAGGATGGGGAAAGACAGAAAGCAGAGCGGCAGTTTATTAAGCATCCCAAAGTATTGAAGATTTTCTTACTTCCCTCGTAAACTGAGACTAATCCAGATACATTAATGGAGGCTCCAATGCTTAGGAAAATTATTAATATCACTAATCCGGTGGTCTTCCCTTAAAAAAGAGTTGGGTCAAACAACTGAAGATCAAAGGAAACAACAGAAACGGCAAGGTCTGGATTGTGGAATGTCAATTAACTACAAACAGACTGGGTCAAATGAACTTCTTTTCCTTAGTTATGATAGCCAACAGAGATGTATAATAATAGTAATTAACATAATTAAGCTTTTCAATTACACTTTTTCTTGTTTGAATTTTATCTAGCTAGGAATAATTCAGGGGCTGACCTGCTCACATGGCAGGGCAGACCATATGAAATGAACCCCACAGTCCAATTAACCAATTCAAAAAACCTGCTAAATTCTAGCCCCACATGGCCATGCTGTGCCCATACTCAACACCCAAGATGGACCCCGTTCACATGGGGATGCTGCCTTCTTTCCTTCATTTAAAGAAAAACCAACGCCCCTGATTTCACTCCCACAACCCCCCAAAACGCATCTTGACCGTCCCACTGAAGGCTCAAGTCTTCCATATGGGCGGCTGAGCTTGTCCCACCCTTGTCCCCCTATCGCAGGGGCAGCTTGCCTCAAAGTTGCTGCTATTGCTACCGACAGCTTAGCTTGCCTTTGTCCATAATTCGTGCATTGAGAGAATATCAAGGCTTACTCATTACTCTTAATACACCATACCCTTGCTTTATGACTTCATCATGTCCTATATTAAATACCTGCTTTTGCATTCCCATTTCCACCACAAACTCCAAACATTTTCGTTTCTCTCAAACTTTTTGCATCGTCAACAAGAACTTTTCTGAACTCAGATCTTAGACAACATCAGCTCGCATTCATCTCTACATTGAAGAAGGAACTTTGGTTTTCCAGATAAGTTGTTTGGTGTATCATTTGGGTGAAGATCTTTGAAAAATGGAAGGCAGCGTGGCTTATGAGAATGATCTAAACCTCAAGGCAACCGAGCTAAGGTTAGGATTGCCAGGAACAGATGAAAGAGAGGAACAACCAGCTTCCAATGTTAGAAACAAGAAGCGACCATTGCAGGACCCTGATGAGGAATTTGGAGCAAATGGCAAATCTGATGCTCAAAATGAAACTGCCCCTCCTGCCAAGTAAGTTATCATAACAAGTTACAAACAAAAGTTTCCTTAAAGACCGATCTTCCTAATCTCTTACTGTTTGATCATAAACTTAGATGGAAACTAATGGATTCTTTTGATGCATATGCTCCATGCAGAGCACAAATTGTGGGGTGGCCACCGATCCGGTCCTATAGAAAGAATAACTTTCAGCCAAAGAAAAGTGAGTCTGAGGGTCCTGGGATTTACGTGAAAGTAAGCATGGATGGAGCACCATACTTAAGAAAGATTGACCTGAAAGTTTACACAGGGTACGCGGAGCTCCTACAGGCTTTAGAGAACATGTTCAAGCTCACCATAGGTAAGAATATGTGATTATTGCTGTTATTTTGTTGTTTATGACATATTTGATGTGACTGGGGGTGAAATTGTGATGAATTTTATGAAAATGACCTTCGATTCCCTTTTTTCAGGTGAGTACTCAGAAAGAGAAGGCTACAAAGGATCAGATTATGCACCTACTTATGAAGACAAGGATGGAGACTGGATGCTAGTTGGAGATGTTCCCTGGGAGTAAGTCTCTCTCTCATCTTCTCCCTCTCCCTCTCCTGCTCTCTTTGCTAGCTTTCCTAGATATTTTATGTAACTTACAAGGTTATCTATTCTGTTTGCAGTATGTTCATCACATCATGCAAAAGGCTAAGAATCATGAAAGGATCAGAAGCCAGGGGCTTAGGTTGTGGTGTATGAGAAATTCTCTATAGCAACAGCACATCTAAGAGCAAGAAAAGGGAGAAGATCCATCTCTGTCGTGGAGAGAAAATCTTTCAGCTTGGGTTCTCGAAGGAGATTTTTGGATCTGATTCTCAGTCTCCTCAATAGGTAGTCTGGTCGGAAATTCGGTCGACTGGGAAGTTTAGAAGGAAAACAGATAATATAAAGTGGAGTTACATTTTCTTTCCTCAGAAGTTTGGCTGCAGCAAAGATATTTGGTGGTTTGAGCATTCTGTAATGTTAATGTGTTTTGCTATAATACCCATCAAACCAAAACTACATAGAAGAATCTGTTGCTTCAACTGCAACTTTGTAAAAAAAGGTCGAAGAAAATCACAAAAAGGATGTGGCTATCCAAGTTTTGGTTATGTAGCATTAATACAAAGAAACAAATTAAGTTGTATATCAGCTGTGTTGTCTCTATACAATTAAAACTTGTCTGTGTTATTGTTGAACCTAGAAAATTTAAGTATGCTTTCTCTTTTCATAAGTAAATCGTCGTCATCGATTCATTTGTGTTCATGTTCCCTACTCTGAGTTAAGCCTGCATAAAGAACAAGAAAGAGAGATCAAAACTTGAGGTTCATGAATTTCCATAATTCCCGCATAAGAAAAGTGCAACCTAAGGTTCATGAATCTACTTTTACGCCTATAAGAGAAGACTTCAAGGATTATTAAAGCATTTACAGCTTATTTGTGTGGGATTCAAGCATTAACAAGAGAAAGAAAGCATATGTGTCATGACTATTATGAAGTAATCATAACTCATTTGACATGTATTTGTCCAGAATTCAAGCATCATAAGAGAGATCGTTGTAAATTAAATCCTTTCTCGTATGCATAAATTATTACCTTGCACTAAATTCACTTAACAGCCCGGCTTCGTAGGACTAAGAACTCAAAGAAACTCAAAGTTTAATTTTCTTTCTAACAAAGGCAGATTACTAAACATTTCAATATGATCCGAAATTGGTGTCTGAGATTAATTTTAAGAAATATGCATTGAAAGGGTAAAAGGATGGATCTCAACCTTAAGTTTTTAGAGATTAAAACACCTATACTTGGATCTTGATCTCCCAATATGTTAAGCTTTTATACTACTGAATAGTCTTTAATATAATGTAATCATATCTTTCGCTAAATAGCCCAGAGTTCAAATTCTGATCATTGCCTCCATTTAATTCTAGGCCGAGTAATTATATATTCACAAAAATATCTAGGGAGCCAAACCAAACAAACTCAAAACTAAGGTACTCCAGACCTCAAACAAGGTTACTAATTATAGTTCTGGAAGAAATGCTGTGCTGTTCAAGGTTTTGCTTTGGATAAATGATCTTATGGATATTGCTTCACTGAGGTTAGTACTGTTTTCTGGCAGAAGGTCTATAGTGCAGATGAACCTTGGGAGAGTCTATCTGAAGAGTTAGAAGCATTCAGCAAGCATTTGCCTATCAACATACAGGAACTAAACTTGCTGCAACCTCTTAATTCAATGGATTCATCAATCAAACTATTAGACCTCTAAAATCAGGTCTTTCAACACATCTGCTTTTTCCACTATTTAAATAGGTTATAGTATCTGTAATTGATACTTATGAGAAAAGAATAATGAAGTAAACTTTTTGCTAAACAACACCGAATAGACCTTGACTTGATTTGATAAACAGTACGTTAAATTACAGACAAGAATATAGGTCAGAAACTGTATTTAACTCAAATGTTGCTTTCCATAGAAAAGGTCAAATTATTTTGAAAAAAGGGAAAAAAGTTAAAGTATTCCTAACAGTAGCAAACAGCCTGTCATAAGTCTCTATTAAACAAAGATTATGACCATCAGTACTGATTATACCTAAGATTGCAGACAAAAAAGGCCAGAAAATACATTTAACTGAAATGTTGTTTGTTTCCAAGAAAAGGTGAATAGAACTAGAGTCTAGAAACAATAAAATTGGATGTCAATTTTTTTTTCCTTGGGGATGGTTACAAGTGTCAAAACATGCCATATTCAAAGCCTTTCAACAGGGAACCTTTGTGATACTGGGGTTAGAGGATTCTTTGTTCAAACTAATTAAAATGCAAAAGATCTAAATCTTTCCCACCCAAAGTTGAAAGTTGGTTTAGGGAAAAAGTGAGAACCAGAGAACTGAACATACCACAGGAAGCAAGACTGCAAGTTCCAGTGCAGGAAAAGAGTCAGGTTATATATAGTTAATAACCAGAATTTTTCTGTTTCTTTCAATACTTAATCCTCTCAGTTATGTAATAAAAGTATAAGACAGTGGACTTCATATGCAAGAATTGAATTTAATGATGTCTTTATGTCTGAAAATAACAGTAGTGACACCAAAGATTTATGTCTTATCTATCAAATGGAAAATTTTTACCACAGGTGAAAATTAATGATGATTGGGTGGGATTAATTAACATAATCTGCAAATGGAAGGAATAATCCTTTGGATATTACCTTTTAGTGTATTGGCCAACAGTTCGTTGGTAACACAAAAGAATTAGCATTAAGCTGTCCTTCTCTCAAGGATAGCGTTCTAGGATATGGACACAGAAAATATCTTTCCTAACCATACATGCCAGCAGGTCAGTGGTTTGCGAGATAATTAAACTAATAATACCTTTGGTTAGGAAAATCTTATCGAGCTATGAGCAAATTTTTGGGACTATGTAAACATTGCTCCTACCTAATGCTCTTTTGGCAAAAGAATGCTTTGTTGGGAGTCCCACACCATAAAGCAAATGTACCTGACCACTTGGTACTTTATGTTAATTAGTTTAGTTTATAAGCTAAAATTTAGTCATTTACTGACAGATTTGCCTCAGTGATATTTTAGATAATATAATAAAGTGAATATAACTTTGTTACTTTCTAATTCTTTTGAGCATATATATAAATATATAAATATAATTTTAATTAGCTCCTTAAATGGATAGATTAACTAAGAAATTAATTTTCTAAATGTATAGGAAAGTCCCTTTTGCTTGAGGATATAAAAATGTGTATTTGAAATGAGGTCTGTAATGTACGTCCTGTTGTTAAATTAATTCAGCCTTGTTGGCTTAGGGTTTGAATATCCATTTTAAAGCTTTATTATAAAAAAATATAAGCATTCTCCATCAGTCTACATGTAACAGTAATAAAGCCTAAAGGCATTAAGAAACAAGATCTGACAAGATTCTAGGATTTGACTCTGGTGATCCTAAGGTTATTTAGATGTCGGCATGATGTTTAAATACAAATCTGTCTTAACTATTCATTGATATGGATATTTTTGGTTGTTTTTATCCGTCTAGCAGTAAACGGATACTTCCTGGACAGCATGCTTGTGCTGCAGTTAAAAGTTAAAAGTTTTAAATTTGCAGCCACTGCTAATCAGGATACCTCAACAATTAACAGCCAAACTCTGACAATGCTTTACTGAAAGGCAAGCCTAGAACAGGCACATGACATGTTTGATAAGTGTTCATATATGTGTTACTAAAACACAAAGTTTGTAACATTTATGTTGCCACTCACTACCCAACCACACTACCCATAGACAATGTAACCAAGTCATTGCCTCAACCTGCCATATCATAGATACTGATACCATGTGCAGTTCATAGGAAGGGATGGCAGCCAAGCATGGTCTGATTAGGTGATTCAATATACGAGAGAGATTTGGACACGAAAGCAGTTGCTTCCATGTATCATTACACAACGAAGGTTAGGACATGTGTTCATATGCATAAAATATGCCTTTGTCTCGTAGGCTTTGATACTGGCTGCTGCATACCGTGTCAAGCACAATGCCAGGCCTACAGCACAGAGAACCAACCAGCCATGTCAGTTGGAATTTCTGTTAAAGTCTTTTTATAAGCAGGATGTTTTCAGATGGAATCATCCCCCTACATTTACATGCATTGTAATGTTTTTGCACCCATTGTTTCATTTCATCTTGGTATGATACTCTATTTGCTGTGGGTTCAACAAGTCAAATGGACGAGATAACTGCATATACAGGAGAACTTGACACTGACTTTTAAGTTCCCATATTTTTCATACCATTATGAAATCAAACAGAGACAAGGATACATGATGCAATGGTGATATAGTAAGATATAATTTTCTGATTCTCAAACCCAAACCTTAAGCCAATTACTCTGGATGGCTACATAATTACACCTTTTCTTTTTCAACCGGCTCATTCAAAATTGCAGCATACAGGACACCAGGTTTTTACCTTATAGACATCAACTTTTGGGACAAAAAATAGTGGCACTCGCATCTTGGCCACAACTTTATGGTGCTTTGCCTCATAAAGTTACAAGTTGAAGGTACAACTTGATAGCAAAAGATGTAAAAATTTCCAAAAGATATCATAAAGCTTACTGGTGGATCCCTGAATTTTGTTTCCTTGGCACCTGGATTCTTGAATAATAGGTCCATCCACCAAAGAAAAAGAGTGTTTTAATCATGTTATGCATTCCTCGAATTGTTTTCATCCTGATTTGTAAAACCAAATAAAAATATGAGCAATGCATTACATTCTCACAGGCTGCAAATGTTGACGGAGCAGTTGACAATGTCCTATAACAAAGAAGAGTGATCTTTTGCGAAAGAATAACAATCATTTTCTGAAAAATTTCTTGTGATCAGCCATCTCCCAAAATGTTATATGAGTACACATCAGAAAGCCAGAAAGCATGGGATGGCAATACTTCTTCCTTTCTTGAATCTCTTAAAAATCCCAAAAGTTTCATATCTTCACTGATCAGATATAAGGTAAAATATATTCTTTCTGAATCAATATGCAAAGCATCTCCCATGACAAACTCATGGACTACACATCCCAACTCAATCCAGCTAGAAGCTCTATTCTTCCTAACTTGGTTCTTCCTAATCATTGCTCTCATTCTAGCAACACCATCCCACCTTCTGGCAGCAGCATAAGTATTAGACAAGAGAATATAATTGCCAGAATTATCTGGCTCAATCTTAAATAACTCATCTGCAGCAATTTCAGCTAATTGTACATCACAATGGACCCTACAAGCAGCGAGCAAAGCTCCCCAAACAACTGCACCAGGTAAAATAGGCATGTTTCTTATAAGGTTATATGCCTCTTCAAGGCACCCAGCTCGACCAAGAAGGTCAACAATACATGCATAATGTTTTTCCGAGGGTTGAATTCTGTGTTCTTCCAGCATTTGTTTAAAATACCTCCTGCCCTCACTAACAAGTCTCCCATGGTTACAAGCAGTCAAAACCCCAAGAAATGCAACTCCATCAGGTCTTATATTTGTCCTCTGCATGTCGTCAAACAAAGATATGGCATCTTGAGCCATGCCATGATTTGCGAACGCTGTGATCATTGTGCTATAACAAAGCAAATCTTTTTGATAAGCCATCTTGAAAACTTGAACAGCCTTGTCAATGCATCCACATTTTGCATACATGTCAATTAAACTAGTGACAATTCGTAAACTAGAAAAAAGGAAGGGTCCTGTAAAGTCATTAATAATTGATTCAGCTGCATCCAAAATTCCTAACTGTGAGCAAGCTGAAATGATTCCTAACACAAGCACTTCATCTGGCTTAATACCTTGTTTTTTAAACTGTTTATACAATTCCAAAGCATCACAAGGCTGCCCATTTCTAGCATAGCCTCCAATCATGGTAGACCAAGATACCAGATTCTTCTCAGGCATCTGATCAAACAAACATCTTCCACTAGTGACATCCCCTGCCTTAACATAGCCATCTATCATTATGGTCCATGATGCAATATTTTTACGTGGCATTTTGTCAAGAAAATCTTTCGCAATTTCCATCTCCCCCACTTTACAATACCCAGCAATCATCAGATTCCAAGTCCCAGCATCTCGAACTGGCATTGCTTCAAAAATAGACTGAGCAGAACCAAGATCACCAACATCCATATAGCCAGAAACCATCACATTCCATGATGCTAAGTCTTTGGCACTCATTCTGTCAAAAAGAATCCTAGCCTCTTCCATATCCCTAGCCTTAATGTATCCCTGAATCATACTCGTCCAAGAAATCACATTCCTTTCAGACATCTCATCAAAAGTCTCCCGCGCAACATCCACTCTGCCGTTACTCCCATACCCCAAAATCATCGAATTCCAAGAAACCAAATCTTTTTCCTCCATTTCATCGAATACCCGTCTCGCCAAATCTACTTCGCCACATCTCATGAACAAATCAATCACCGCGTTTTGCACAATCAAATCAAAACCAAGCCCACATTTTAACCCCAAGCCATAAACCGCTTCCCCATCTATAACCCTCATCAACCTGGCTAAACCCTTGAGAACCGATGCCAAGGTAAAATTCAAGGGCAAAACAGACTTTTTACACATATGACAAAACAAAGACAAAGCTTCCTGGTAGTTTCGATTCTCAATATACCCATGAATCAAAGCTGTCCAAAGAAACGCATTTGGTTGGGGAATTTGATCAAACAACTTGTCAGCATATTGGATGGAACCAAACCGTGCATAGAGCCTCAGAAACTTGTTGAGGACTAGGTCAGATGAGGCGATAGAGCCGTCGACTAGAAGACGGGCGTGGATAGATTTTAAGGGTTTGAGAGATTGGGCTCTGTCGAGGAGGCGTAACACTAACTTCATGCGATCCATCTCATGGCGCCAAAAGTAATTGGGATGACTCTTAACGGTCATGTAAGTTGCTTTTCAAATGTTCTGGAATTTGAACAATTGATGGGCTTCTTCAAATGGGCATCTAATGATTTGGGCTAAACTCTTTGCAATACTGAGTTATAACAAAAACTTGTGCAATTCATTTCTCCACTCTATACTGGCTTTATGTTCTGCCTATATGAATGTAAGTTATGACGAGAGCCCAGACGACATTCTCAACCAAGTAAATCAGGCAGTACTGTTATTTGATGAGAAAGGAGAATATCAAAGATAGACAGCAAACTTCCGTAAGGATCATGGAGATAACTTTTTTTTCATTAAATTCTTTAACACCAAAGAATTTTAGGCTTCATTCGACCAATCCCTATGATTGCATCTAACAGAAAGAATCAAACATTATGAGAATCCATCATCTATCCAAACTTTCTTTATAGTTTTAGTATAGTTTGTTTGAATCCAATGGTGTGATCATTTCCAAGATTAAATTCCTCAAACGAAAGAGACCCTTTTGAGAGCCCTGCATCAATGGCCGCATCAAAATGATATCCAATTAAACTGGTTGTCTTCCTCGAGCAACTTCCGGACTATGGTCTTCCAGCAATCCCGGATGAGTGCCTCACCACTGTAATGGTACTTAGGGAGCAACTATAAAAAAAATGTACAGAAGTTCTGTTAAATTTTGCTAAGTTACAAGGGCTCTTGTAAGTAAACAGGTGCCCATTTTCATTTCTCCACATCACAGCCAGCATAACGAACAGAAACAGTGATCATGCAGACCCGCTTCATCTTGCATTTTGTAACTCTAACCTCAAATATACTCATTTTATAGACAGTTGCTGAATTGCTTGAACCTATTGATTATAGTATACATGCTGTCAAAGCGGAGAAGGGCAATCAGTCGTAAGCATCAGGTTAGAAGCCTAAATCAGATCGGACCGGCCAAGATTCATCGGTAACTGTCACGGATTGTTCAGGGGAAATAGCACATAGGAAAGAGCTGAGACCTGGTTTCATTGTGTAGTTTGTTATAGACACAAAGAAGCCTTTTCATGATTGAGATGGATCATGCTCTGGTTCCCTCTCACTTGATTCTTCAACATTGTCATCATTGTTGTCACCAGATAGTGATTGATTAGCACTATGGTCAGAAACAACAATTAAAGCATGGCTTTGAACCAGGGTATCTTTTTGTTTTGCAGAATTATCTTCATGAGTTGTATCAACTGAAGCCAGATATGAAATGCCGTACTTCTGCCCATGAGTTAGTCCTGGGCAAAGCCCCTGAGAAACAAATAACAAAAGTTCTAAGAGAATGGACAAACATCAATGTGATCCACGTAAAATTAGAGTTAATGCAAAAAAAAAGGCCTCAAACTTCCATAGCTGCTCCTTAATTATTCTGCAATTTCACCACATTAAAGTGATTGATGCTATAACTAGAAATTACAAAATTCTTATAGGAGACATCTAAAATTGGCCTATTTGTTTTGTGATCACCAGAAAATGAAAATCACTATGTAGACAATGAGAGAATAGACAATTATCAATCTTTTAGTACCATTTCATTATCTAAGATTACCACCAACCCAATGGAAAACAAAAGAAAAATACAAACCTTAATCAGCCCTGATACAGGAGATGCCTCAAGATAAGAAGAGTCCAATGGAAACCCAGTGCGAACCCAACCCCCAGAAACTCTGCTACCATTAGTTTCTTGAGAATCAGCAGACACATCTGATGCATGAGGCTCATGTTTAAAGTCACCCTGATTACAATAAGCCCCAAAATATGAACAATGCTCTTGCACTAGAGATATTTGAGGAGTTGCAGGCAATAAATGGCCCTCAGTTGTAAATATGTACCTGTAAACGGTAATTTTCCACAAAAAATGAAAAATAAGAAATTGTAGCTGTTTACATGCAATATAATTTTTTCTTAAAAGAAAAAAACTAGGAAGCAGAAACCTTACTTGTATGGTCCATTTTCAACAAGGTTGTCTGGACCCACGGCCAAATCGAAAAGAAGCCACAAGTATTTCACCTAATAATATTGAGAGGTTTCAAACAACATTATACTGGAAAGGAAAAGACTACAACATGATGAGAATATCAAAAACTACCAGGAGGGGGAAGCTGAAGAACAGGTCAAATTGGATTCAAGTTCAAACCAAATGAAATCATGAAATTTAGTGCTGGCCCCCATCTAAAAAAAAGTGTATTTAGGGAATGAGTTATATGAAGAAATACATGTTAATTGGTACTTACTGTTTCTGCCAGGAAAAAGCTCTCCATGTGATCTTCTCTCTTGTGAAACTCAACATCTGATATATGACAATAACCACAAGGGCATCTTGCCCCATATTGCAAGCTAGCAACCATGTCTCGTCCAGCATCCAGATATCTACAGTCAGAAGAGATTTGTGAAGATTTAATTTGCAAGAAACGATTGGGGAAATATAAAAAGGTTATTCAGTTAATAAGAACAGAAAAGGTAAACTGGAAACCATCTAACAGCATGGATAGCTTTGCACTCTCCTCAACAATAATTCTTTGTTTAATATGGTAGCTTATGTATCAAGTCTGTTTTATTTCCTCACATTCACTTTATGCAATATCTTAAATCACTGCTGTTAAATGCCATGATATTAGGCATCAGCTTTGTTCGGTTTACATTTTCCCTTTTTCTATGTAAAAAACTTGCAATTTTGTCTTCAGATAGAATTTATCTTCAGATAAGGGTATTTAGTCAATATTTAATGCTGACATTAATTGCTTCTAAAAATCAGAGTTCTTAATCCTGAAAAAATAAAGCCTTTCAGAAACAATATCAACTGGCTAGTTAAATATGATATTTTTTTATAAACAAATTTATTTAGCTTCTATAAACAGAATGTTTTCTTTTCACCCTTTAGAATTACTACATTTATAGAAAGAACTGATAAAGTTTAAACTTTACAATATTAACCCATCCACACAACTACAAGTGAAAAAATGTTCAAAAGTAGAGCGGAAAAAGTAAGAAAAGGCACTTAAATAAAGGTCAATCTGATTAACCTGGGATCTCTGGTAGCTTTGTAGAGCCAATATGTGCTTTCTATTAACTCGGGACGCAAGGGGTAACTCTTTTGCCCATGCTGCCAAAGAAACATGGTATAAAAAATTCAGATAGAAAAATAGAGACCCAATATGTGCTTTTTATTAACTTGGGATGCAATGGCTAACTCTTTTTCTTAGGCTGCCAGAGGAAAATGGTATAAATGTGACAAATTTTAAGAACAAAAACAAAAGTTATCATGCAATGGAACTTTAGGTGGAGTTATGTTTAAGATCTTAAATGAGAATCTTCCCATAGAGCAACTATTTTGTAATGGTGTAAATGCACTATTATGTAAAACAGTGTACTTTGGTAAATGGCATATTAGGTGTTATCAAGCTGCACAAAAAAATTAGTAAAATTCTAATTTGAAACCCTGAATAAGAATCATAACAGTAGGACAATATTATGATTCAGATACCTGAACACTAAGTGTAGCAAGATTAAAACCCTCAGGAGTGAATCCATATCTTTTCCACACACTGAAGAAGGCAGTATGTGTTCTAATAGCAGGATCAACATCCCCGGCTAAAACCTTCCAAAAAGGGTAAACCTCTGGTTACCAAAAATTCAATTATATATTATATGGTTTAAATCAGAAAATGATATTAAAAAACACTAACCTGAAGGCCAGGCCAAAATGCCTGCAAACTGTTAAATAATGGCCAGACAATAGCAGCAGAATCCATATTGACCTCAACATACCTAAGGAAGTAAAACTAAAATTTAGAGAGAGAGAGAGAGAAAGAGAGATGATAAAATTCAAAACACATGATCCATATAAAATGTCAAATGACAAAAGGAATAATGAAATGAGGGAAAAGAAACATATATTTACAGTGGTTCACAAAGCACAAGTTTTTACCAAGGATCATTGTAAAGATAGTGCATAGCAGCACTGTATGCTTCTTGGAAAATGAACAAATACTCTTCATCTCCAAACAATAAATATGCCTGAAAAGATATCAAGAAGGGAAAAAAAGGTTTCGTCTCTATTACTAAATTGTGATCACAAAGTTACAAGGTACAAGAATTTCAAGTCATGTGACAGACCTTCAGAAGGTACTCATAAAAGGAGTCAATGCTAGTCCCTATTCCAGCATCCTGCAAAGCAGCATAAAATTAATTGCAGCTGGCTAGATATAGATTTGCTAAATTTGATTCCTTCACATTGAAGATGGGTCCGGCAGGAGGTCCATGAGTTAATGAGTGAAACTGCACTTTAGTTTCTAGTTTAATGCATATTCTTAACTCTGATTTTGCTTATTCAATATCTGCATTTCAATAAGGCAAACTTGCAAGGGAAATACAAGAAAATATTAATTCTCAACTTGTCCTTTTGAAAGTACTGAAAAAAGAAAGTTTTACAATAGAATTAGAGGATAGGAGAGGACAATAAATTTCTAAAAGAATAGATAAAGACCACGTCAAAAAAGTTCAAAGCAGACCATCTTTCTTCTAGAAAATACTTCATATATACTGAATAAATGACTCAATAGAAGCAACATCAATGGAAGATTTAATCCCTTTCCATCTATTTAACTACTAAGTAATCTGAAGAACATCCTGATGTAGCTATTACAAACAACAGAAAATTGGAAGGCTCTTGACTGTGTGATAACTGTAAAACAGCATACTACCTTCTGTGTCCATTCACCAGTAAACACATTGATGTGAGCACCAACTAAATTAAGCTTTGAACGGCGAGCCCATAGGCCTCGCACAGCATTCTTTGTAACTCGCTCAAAAACTGCACTCATTTTAGGAAATAAATCTATTTCAGCAATGCAGGAAAAAGTTAACAGTCCTGACAATAGGTAACAATAACAAAAAGTCTCATCGCTAGTCTTCTGATACAAGTTTGCAAAGTCTAGACTAATAAGTTTTGATTTAAGCATTCCCTAGCCACTTCCTTTGGCACTTCTGTCAGATTGTTATAGTAAGATTCCAAGAAAACAAATCCAGGTTATATCTTTAGTTTTCTTGTCTGGCTAGTATTTCCAGTCTCCCCTTCCGTATTTTATGCCTTTCAGCTATCAACAATTAGAACCACATCTTCGTGGCCAAAATTTAAACAGCAAACATGATTACTCGGGCTCTCAGTTTTTGTATTGTAAATATACTTGTGCATGATGGAAAACAATGGAACCCAGATCTCTTCTTCTATCTATGCGCACATCGAGAGAAAAAGGCATTAGGATCCCTGCCTATTAACCTTAGGTTCTTAATATATTGGCTTTGCAGGTTTGGATTGATCCAAGGCTGCTTTACAATTTAGCAAGAAAAGGTAAATTTTCCTGTTACTAAAGATTGGACACGGAAAGGGGAAAGTGGTGTAATTTCATACTAGTTATGAGCAATTTAGCAACAGCAAGCACTGTATTGAAATCCACAATTACAGAAGGATTACTGCAATTTCTAGAATCCAAGATTGCAATTTACAGAAGGATTAGAGCCAAAGATTTGCTACCATACATTTTGTGGCATACAGACTTCTAGAGAATGCAAAACACCGAATAGAGAGGCAGTAATACTTACCAGGATCATTTGTCAAACGGCTTAGCACTCCAAATTCAAGGGTCAAAGTCCCACCACCAGCTGTAGATGTTATCTAAACCAACCAAATTGGAAATTTAAATTACCTATATCATATATGATACATGAAAAATGCAGAGATACAGGACTCATAAGTAACTAGTACTTTAATAGAGATTAATATGTGAACAACATCAATTAACTTTAATACCTTCATCTTCATCTATTGAAATTACATACAGCAACTATGCACATCACTAAGTACTGATAGCATTGTACTCTAGGGGACAAGGGGAATTAGCAAAAGCTACGTTCAGGGTGACAAAAGCACAAGCAGTTTACAAAAACTAACAAAATTAATCATCACTTAGGAGATCATAGAGGCATTGCCTTGCTTTCATGTTCATCAACTCCATACTTTAGATTAACAGATCCGAATGGAATTCCTGCAATACAACATAGCTGGAGATAGTCATAATAAGATATCAAATCTAGGATCAGACTATCAGCCAACTTTTATGTTTGTGCATCTCAATAGAAAAATGATCCAGGAGTGATACCTGTAGGTGTGTCAAATGCAGGTAATAATCTCCGGGCCAGATCTTCAGCTAAGTCAAGTAATTGATTGTCATAGGAAGGAATTCCCATGCCCTGAAATTGAAATGATCCTGATATTTATTCTACAAGAATAAAATATGATTATAAATGACCAATGGAGCTCGACAAATCAATATTACCGTAGCATAGTCACTTGCAATAAGATGAGCAGAAAGTAAACCTCCAAGGACCCGGATGGAGGTCTCAAAAATGGAAACTGTTTTATTCTGCAGAATAAAGGTAAACTCCAAAGTTTAGATTGATAACCATATTTCCAAATTACAAAAGTACTATGTAAAGCCAATTGAACAGTGATTCCGAGGGAGAAAAAGACTAAGGATGAGGGAACGACAAGTTAATATAAACCACTACACAGGTGAAAATCATAATGTAAGAACAATATAGACACATAACATTTACAGTCTTTTTGGATTCTCATGAAGATTGTACGTTCATATCGAATTTAGAATACAATTTTGACAACGGAAGAAAGAGTCATAATAAAAGAACTTTATTAAGGCCTTCAAATTTATCAAATCTTCCCCATCATGGCAATTACACTACTTGTCTCTTTTATTGCACAACAGATGATGAACACATGCCTTAGATGTTAGGCTTGTGAAAGACCAGTTAAATTTTGCAGGACAATTAGGCAGGCATTAAAATAAAGAATGGTGCAAACCACGTATGAATATGCAAAATTAGACAATGGCAATCAACAACAATAATCTATTACCATAACAGTACATAAACCAACTGCTTTGTATGTTGCATTTAAGTCAAAAAAAAAAAAAAGAACAAAACAGAACTATGATAACTTTAATCACTCTACAAAAGACAAACGCTTCCATTGCACTAGTCTTAAGAGTTATCCAGGAGGTGTTTAAATCAGAGTGAGTTTCTAAACAAGGATATAAAGTTTCACCTTCAACCTTATCAAAGTCCATACTAAAGTTCCTATATTAAAAAAAAATCCAAAAATCCAATAGGATAAGCGCAAAAGATTGATGCAAAAAATATTTCACTCACTATATCAAACTGAAGATTTTTACCAATCCATTCAACAGAGGCTGTAAAGCGTTCTCGGTCTCTGAGTAAAGCCAGTGTGTCTAAAGAATCAATCTGCAGCATAGTGGCAACATCAAAAGAACAGTTCAATACACAATCTCTGTCACATAAATTTTGAAAAAAAATGGGGAAATATCAACATTTTACCAGTGTCAAGGCATAACCACCAAGCGTATCTTCTCCTTCACACGATAGAGGTCTTAGCTCATCTAATGGAAACGCATGGTCCATATATCCATCAAAAGCATGATAGAACATTTCACGCACCTAGAGCACCCAGAAGCAACAAAATAAATGCCATCACACGAACGGCTAATACACTCCAATCTACTTCCATTAGTTTATTGGCAATTCGTAGTTTAAAGGTTAAGATTTGACTTCAGCTTTCATTTAACAGCACTTAGAAACCAAGTATCTACATACAATGTGAATTAACAGTACACCTGTTACTCTTTTTAATGCTTTTGCCAAAAATGAGCTTTCAAATTTTGCCTTAAAACCTATTTCCATCACCAAAGAAACCTTAAACACTCAATTATCAATCAACAAACCAAGCAAACACTATAAAAATCCCAAAACGCCAGATCAGTAAAGACACTGAGACTAATAATAATAAAGTTAAAAACCCAATTCAAAGGAACCCTTATAATATCTATTTGTAGAGCAAAAACCCTGAATTCAAATGATAAACTAAAGAGGAAAAATTAATCTTTTTTACCTCATCTCTGAGCTGCTTGGCTTCCTCGGGCGTGACACCTTCTGCGACTGTTTTGTGTACAGAAAACAACAAAAGAAATAACAGAAACTGAAGAATCAAGTTCAAAGCTTTCATTTTTAGATTAGAATTCAATCTCCGTTTCTTTGTAAAGAGATGATCTCGGTCTCGACATCGGCTTGTTCGGATTTCTCTTATGTTTCTTTTTAGCTTTTTGTTCTTTAATCTAAACACTGAGAACTGAACTACCACGGCTGGCTGGCTGGCCGGGTTTTTTAAGTTACAGTGAAAATTATCAAAAAGATAAAACACAGGAAAAGCAAGAAGATAATAAAATCCAATAGGTTTTTATTTGTATTGTTTTTTAAAGAATAATTATTTTCTTCTACCACTAGCAAAATGCATGTTATGGTTTTTTTAGTTTGAGTGAAATTCAACTATTTAAATTTTTTTTTTAAAAAAAAAACAAATTATACCTATGTAATGCAAATTGGATAGGACATTTTAAGCTAATTAACACAAATTTTTATTAATTTATAAAATATTTTAGGCTGGTAAAATGTTGTTCACCTTTCAAATTAAAAAGAAAATTTGAAAAAGTAAATAATAACCAAGTATTTTCATAAAAATTAACTTGACTTTATCTCTTCTTACCCAAAGCAAAAAAACCTTGATTTTATCACAATTATCAAGGTTTTATTTAGTAAATTTATTTTCTTTTACTTCCAACAGTAGTGATTGGTTTTTATTTTTATATATAGAAACGGTTAAAAGAGCTCAAAATTATTGATAAAAGAACAGAAAATACTATCAAAGCTCCAAATGGTACATCTTCCATATTGTCAAGGGCTTCAAACGAATGCCCCTTTAGCCGTTTCCAATGTATCACTGTTGTTATGAATGGAAAATATCTAAGGAAAGCATTGACACCTTAGAATTAAATCCATCAAAAAATAATACTAAATTGATTTTCAGTGACACCAAAATTAAAACTATTCTTAAACTTGCTGTAATTACATAATACTACAAAAAAGTTACGATTTTCAGAGGAGGCAGCTAGCTGCCCACCCATTATAGATCCATCTTTAAGGATCATTCCAAAGCCAAGTCCACTTCATGCCTGCATATACAAAAGAGAATTAAGTTCCAGGTCCAAAGACTCTAACAAGAAACATTACGAATAAATGAATGAATAAATGGCAAGTGATATTGAGCTTTATATTTGTTAAATCATAGAATTAGGAAAAACAAAAAGTTGATGCAGAACATGTTTTTCGCTAACAGAAGGAGCAAACTGCATAGGAAAAAATTAATATGCGCAAACAATAAAAATTTAGGGGCTGAATTGCTAATTTGCTCGTGTTATCTGAAGGGAGGCCTCTTTCCTATTTGACAACCCCCCCACCCCTTCTTACTTCCCTAATTCCTGCCCCATTGGCCCATATAGCTTGCATTTTAGTAATAGTGCAAGATGTGGATATCAGATAGGTTGACAACAAGAAAAACCAATTTTGCAGCACACAGTGTAGGAGGATGAATAAAGGAAAGTACATTCGTACCATTCTTAACCATTAAAACCATCTTTATTACCATGAAATTAGGGATTTTCAGATGTCAGTAAAGCACCAATGAATCTATGTTTAAGCATCTCGGCAAAACAAAAAATAATTTGTGAGAAAAACGAAATTCAAAAAGGATATGATTATTATTAAATTAAAACTTAGTCACGACTTTACAAACCTGTTGCTTTCTCTTTTTTGGTCTCCTCTTTCTACGTGGTTTGCGAGCATCAGAATTGGAACTTAAATTACTACTGTTTCCAGTCTTTGGATTCGAAGATCCCCCTGCCTTAAAGGAAGAACCACTTCTGCTATTGGATGTGTTGCTAGATGTGGACATTTCAGCTCTTTGTATGGATGAATTTCGGCTAGATGAAGATCCAAACCTTGATTTTGCATGTACTGAATTTGAAAAAGAATTAGTTGATGGCCTAGGCGGTGGCATTAAAGCTCTGGCAGAAACCTGTCTCTGTTATTAGTTGCGGCAAGCAAGATCGAGATGAAGGCGGATATGTCAAAACATTTAAAATCAATTATTTTGTTGAAAGTGCGAATATTCAAACAGTTACTGAACCTGATTCCTTTCATCACTAGACATGCCAGATGCTGCTTTGCCAGAGGCACTAGAAGCCTGTTCCCTGCACACAAGTGCCAAAATGTTTAACTGCACTTTCAATCATATCAAAAGGAGGGGAATAAAAGATTTCAGGCCTGTTCAACTACAAAGAGCTTGCAGTAAAAGGCCAAAGTTAAATCTGAATAGAATCTACAACTTCTGCTAACCACAGAGTCAACAGTAATCATGAGTCTTTGTTGATGTCAACAGAAGTTTTAATGGAAGTTTATTAAGTCAATTTGTATCTGTAACTTATCCTGGTCATAAATGTGACTAACAAAACCAAAGAGGGAACAAAAACCCATCAACTAGATACTTAATAGCCCATGCTTCCCATTAGGATACGAAGCAAAGCTCAGGTTGCGTAGTTCAACTCACAGACGCAATATGTACCTGGTACTTTTATCTGTCCATTCATCATCTGCATCAGCTTCATCACTTGAGGTTCCAGTCAAAAAGAAATCATCATCACTCAAATCCAACAGCCCATCATCCTCACTCCCTGTCTCTGTTAAGGTAAGTACAAACAGAAGACATCATCCTTTTGAACATGAAAATACAATTTAAGCAGGTAAAACAACATACATTAACAGAAAACATGATACATCCATAACATGTAACATAGTTTTAAGCTACAAAGTCACAGTACTGTACCAACATTACTCAGAAGAGCTTTCTATGCTGAATTTTACCTTTCTGTGAGTTTCAATTCAAATCAAGATAAGAAGGCCCTTTATTGTAGAACGGTTAACATTAGACCATGTAATCAAGGAAAACAAGTCACTTCATATAGTCTTATATAGCTGTGGTGAAGAAAGAATGTACCTTCCAAATCTTTCCCACTGGCAGCAGCAGCAACTAAGTTGGCTTTTATCTGCTTCCGCAATCTATTTCTCCTATCAACTACGTCTGAACCATCACCTCCCGTAAATAAAGAGACATATTTCTCAGTCTTGGGGAAAAACTGCATTTGAAATAAATTATAAATTTTAGCTTCACATAATTTCTATGAGCAGAGATATGCTGAATTCAAGTTCAAACAGTTGATTAAACAACACTGCCCTATTATAACAGCAAAAATACCATCTAATTTTCAACCAAAAGAATGCAAATTTACCACTAAACATGCTATAAGATTACCCTAACATATTCAAGATCTTCTTTCAATTTAGAAAGCTGTTCAGCAATCTCCGCGTCTTGTGCCTGACCTGATGAAGTACGTTGCAGCTTCTCTAAACGCCTTATTCTCCTCTCTATCTTTCTTCTCTCTTCAACAACAATTAAGATACTAACAAATTAGTGGTTCATTTCATAATGAACTAAATAATAGTCCAACAATTAAAAGCAAATTATACTAATTCTTACTTCTTACCAAAAAACTTAATCTTTCTGTCCCGCAAGAATATTTTTCGTTCCACAGCGAGCCGGGTGTGGATTTCTTGTTGTTTCTTAAGCCCTTCTAACTTCCGTTCCTGAGCCTCTCTAACTTCAGGTGGAAGATCCTTATTTTATATATAAAAAAGGAAAACAATTACAATTCAGAGAATCTATTACGCAACTTAACAACCCTAAAATGAAAATTAAATAAAAAACGAGAAAAAAAAATGAGATTAAGAATACCTTTCGTAGCATGCGTTCAATGGAGCGTATCTGGTTCTTGAGAGAAACGGCTTTTGGCTTTGGTTTCTTGTCTACGCCAGGTCCTTTTGATCGCCGACCTACGCGCTTCCCCTCCGCCACGCGCCGCTTACCGTAGCCACCGTGGGCCATGCCTTTTTTCTTTCTCTCTTTTTGTCACTGTCCCGAGAGAGATGACGAGTTTGGGGTTTTCGTTTTCTTGTTTTTAACTTTTTTGTTTTTTAATTATGACGCCTTCGGGTTAAAACAAATGATGGGTTTCACTTTTTGTTCTTGCCCTTGAAAGGTCAACCGGGCCTTTGATGGGCGAATTTTAAGTTAAATTGGGCCCATTCCATGATTCGCTAAAACCCATTGCACATCAAGCCCAAACAAGAGTAAAATTAAAAAACAACTCAATTTATCAGAAAAATATTTTTATGAACCGATATAAAGTTTTTAAATTTTAAAAAATAATTAATTTACGAAGACATATCGATTATCTAAACATTCTGATAAAGTTTAACACTATCATCAATATATAGATATTTACTTTCTTTAATTATCTATTTGATGTTTTAACATTTGTGCATGTTATGAGATCCCGACTCGATTAACATTTTTATTTGAAAATTTCTTGATAAAATTTTGGCCATTTGAAAATAATATAGCCTTGGTATTGAATTTGTTTTTTAATGCTTTTACAATGAGCAAATATAGATTTGGAGAAGCATCAAATGAATCATCTATACTAATGAATTAGCACAATATACGAGGAACATATGTTAGCTTATGACTGTAAAGTTTCTTTGATGCGGAACTAAATCCACTCTCTGTAGGTAATCTACTCCTCGGATAAAGAAATAGCAACTGCTTTGTTGTGGGAGGACAAAGCTATTGATTTTCTTACAAATTTACAACATCCATGGATACAACAGTTCCTATGACAACAATCTAGACTTCACCAGGATCAAGGTCCAAAACTAGAATCTATCTCTGTCCCTATGCTGGTTTCACAGGACTCATTACTATGAAACTAAAGACTCCTATGACAACAACCTGGACTTCCAATAGGGTTAATTCGAATCTCTCTCTATCCCTATGATGGTTTCACAGGACTCCTTACTGTGAATCTAAAAACGATAGTTTCAACTTAACTATGCAAAGAGTTTATGAAGCCAATGCCTTGGAACCATGAAAATTATTGAAAAAAAAAAAAGCGCAAAGAGGAACGAGAGTGACTGGAGTTATTGGCATTTTAGATGGCAATGGGTTGCTCTCCTTCAAGCTCGGATATAACAATTAGTGAATCTGTCATTTCTAGGGAGACAGGTTTTGACTTGGGAGTCGGGTTAATAACCTGCAGAATACCGAAGAATGGATTAGGTATTAAAGCAAACCTGTTTAGAACCGAACAAAAGTATATCATACCTTCTTGTTGTCTTTTACATATCCTATGGCAACTTCTTGTCGCAAACATGCCCTTTCAGATAGCTCAGAGAATGAAAGGTGCTCACCCTCTTTCATGTAGAGGCTAATATCCTGTCAAGAAAATAGTTTTAAGTAGCAGCAGAATTTGACTGTAAACAATACCACAAAAAATTTCTCTGAGTATCTTTCATGAAATGCCAGATTATCACAAGAAAAGGTGATTCCGTTGCCTAAGTGCCAAATATGATGAGTTCATTACCTACAAGACCTAACTTTGACACTACAACACTCTCCTGTGACACGATGAGAACTAAAGCACTTGGTTTTATGCTATAAGAAAGCAGATTGCTTTAATGGTAAATGGGCCTCGGCTATCCTCCTCCTCAGACACCTAGCTGTCCCCTTCATTTTCAGTAAGTTCAAAAATGAAAGTACTGCATCTGAGAAATGACATTACCTTAACATATATTTCATCACCCTCAGCATTCAAAATGTCTTTCCACACTTCATTCAGTTCACTGTGTTCCGCCACTGTCATGCACCGCATACAGTTATTTCTTAATATTACACATGGAAACGATATAAATACTGCTATCGCAATATAACTCCAAGACCTTGAGCTGTTACAAGACTCATCACTTCCTCAGCCGCAATATAAGTCAGGGATGGGTTGATTCGTGTAATCTGCAGGGTTTGCAGGATTTCAATGTGAAAAAACTTAGAAAATCAAAGATGATAAAATAAGAAACTGTCTAAATCACTGAAAACAAAATATCACTTGTTTGCCCAATTTTGAGTCACCAATCTCTGCTACTAGATTTTGCACCTGCAGAACAATCAACTCTTAATATTTAAGTTTCAAAATAATAACTAATAATAATTCTAAAAATTAACAACCGCAGCTGCACTTGACTAGTTAAATCTCAAATATTGACACTCTCTTTCTTGGTTAACACTCAAATCCTAAAATTCAAGACCATGAGGTTATCGAGATTATATTGAACCAAACTCACTGTCACTCCAAGTTTGTTGCAGATATTTTCAGCAAGAAGGAGAGAATATGCAGATTGCTTGTCTGCCCTACATGGATCTGAAAAGAAAATAGTCAGTCGAAGGATGAGTGTACCAATAGAAACACTGTCTATCAATTATCATTACCTCCAAGAAGCCATTCTCTATCGGAAATCACAACAATAGATAAAGGAATGTGATTGCCTTTCTTGACAGAATTTTGTATATGTGTTATTGTTTCCTCCAAGGTATCATAGTTCATGGGGTTTCCAATCTGCGATGCATGAAAATATATAACAGATTAGAAGGAAATGATAAAAGGTTTTGCATTCGCATCCTTCCCCACCTAAATAAAAATGTTCTGAGAAGTTCCACATCATCAACTGGCAGTACCCTATGGGAAACCTGGACATTCTTTAGTTTTCCTTGACCAGACATGAAGCTTGCCTTCTTCCTTTCTTCTAATGGGACATCTGATAATATTTCCTGTAAAGTGTGGACAGCACATAAATATTCTAAACTCAACAGATGCAATGTAACAAAGTTGTTTCCTACCAAGTATAAATAATTCATAATAATTCTATTTCATTTGAGGTCCAAGAAGTGACATGATTGAGTTGGGAGAAAAAAAGAGCATCCAGTCTGACAATATGCACCTCAATGCAAAACTTATTGGTATTCATTCAAGTTCACAAATAATTCCATAACCAACTGATCTCCTTCAAGTCAGAAATAATTTTTGCAGGCTTATGTCTAGGCACTTATGGTGGAAAACACCTGGCTTGTCTCCATTATAGATATTCTTGAAAACTTTGAAGTACATAACTCTTAACATCCCAATTCAAGACAAGACAACAGGGGCTGGTTAAGTTTGAAATTGAAGACACTGTAGAAATCCTGAGAGAAAATGAAAGCATACCAACACACTTCCAGGGCCAAGATAATTATCATACTCTTCAATCATTTGTACAACATCTGGACGCCACCCAAGCATAAGTATGCATTCTTTGGGTCCTAGACTCCAGTCTGATGCCTGCTTTGAGATCAAAAGAATATATAAGTGGACTTCCAGAATGTTCGATAGATGCCGTCACTTACACCACTTGTCCCTTTGGGAAACATACCTTTGATCCCGGTTTGTTGGGACGTTTTACAACATTTAAAATTCGTTCTTTTCTCAATTCTAAAGCATGCTTTGGAGTATCAGCATTGTTTTTGAAAACTTCCAGACTTTGGAATGTATTCGTTTCATCTTTTACAACATCTGAAAGTGCAAGTTGTTGTTTTCCTGTCCTGTGAATAGGGGCAATTAGCAATACCTACACAAATAAAAGCACAATAGGTCAGGAAGTATACAGATATAATCAGGGAAGGAACGCATGGACTATAAATTTCAGTGAAAGGAGTTCTTTCCATGCAAAATCTTGGTAAGCAGTACTATCTCTCCATTTCAAGAAGTTGCCACAACTAGCTTATGAAACTCTCCACAGTTGCAAACATTTAGACATACAGACATAACAATTTTAAATAAGTTTTTCAAGTGCACAAAGTTTAGACTATCTGATATATTTCTGTTCCAAAAAAAAAAGGAGATTATATTTCAGTAGTCTAACTAATCCTGCCAACCACCCAGTCATCCTACTGCTGATCACAGAATGAAGTCAATATTCGGATTACCCAAAAGCAGGATATTCTTGAATTATTTAGTGTTATTCCCTCTTTTACATAGTGATTTGCGGAAACTTGAAGTTTAGTACAACAATATTTCATGATGCAAAATTATGAAGCTTAACTTTAAAAAGGGGGAGGAATATGAATATAAAAGTTCAAAGTCATATTGTCTACGTACTTTGTCAGTTTGCTGAAGAATTTCATCATCCCTGGGGTGGAAGTATATCTTACCACTCCGATAAAGACCACAAACAACTGCCTGAAAAGAAACCAGCACAAAGAAACTGCATGAGAATTCTTTCCACTGATAAATACTAACTTTAGCAAAAAGCATTACCTCTCGAAACCCCCGTCGTATTTGTCTATACGTCAATCCTGTTAGACTTGGAAAATGGCAAAGATTGAATACATTTTCTGCAATAACATGATACCAATTATTCTGGGAGCAGCAAACTAAAATATAATGATATGGACAAGAATCTAATTTTGAAAATAATTTTGTACTCCAACAAATGGATCTTTAGAATTTCTTTTATGCGAATATCCTAAGGCAAGAAACTGTTAGCACTGGTGAAATTTGTAGGTCAAACTAAAATAGTTCTATTAAACTAGAAAAGAACCAAAACTGGATGATTGATGCAAGAAGAAAAACTACCCTACTTTAACCGGTATTCAGATTCAGGACCATCCCAAACTATCCAAGAGTGGGAAAGTCCTAGTGCTGGTGTCTCAGTTTTGTTTCATCAAAAGACGGGACAAAACTTCATGATATCACCATAAGTTAAACTTTTGACAAAGAATGGCTATAAACAGGGAATTACAGTCTTTAAGCTCTCATTGTCTTTCCAGCATCATAATAATAACAACTCTCAACAAGGAGTCATACTATACTTCGATAATTAAGCAAGTGCCTGTAGATCTTTATCAGCCCCTTTTGCCGAGAACATTGAACAAATAATTTAGAAGCAACATTTTCTACTGGCTCCACTTTCAGTCCAGAAATTGACTTCAAGAGCTCACATGTACTGGAATTTGACACCTGTGTCAGTAAGAACGTGAAATTAAACTTGAGTTCACTTGGTAGAATGTTATTAATCATATGGTTATGCAGATGCACATACCTCAACAATAGTGGGGATAGATTCCATTTCAGGAATAGGTTGAAGTGCCAGTACGGAGAGAAATGCATCAGTATCAACTTCATACCTAAATGGTTAATGAACCACTGTCACTAAACTTCCCCCAAAGAAAACTGTCGGTATTATGCACTTGTTAAAAAGGAATTTGCAAAGAACTAGATAGGATGAGCAAAGCAGAGCTCCACTAGCTGCTGTTTCTATTATCTTTACTTCATTCCACAAAACACTATCCAACAATGTTTCTGGCCTCCTTAGTTTTCTAGACCCTTAAGTCTGAGTTTAAGAGTTACTAACTGCATTGTAAGTTTGATTACAGAAACTACTAATAATCTACCCATCATGGTTGTTTGGAAACAGAACTCAAGAGTTAAAATAACAATTCTCATAGTACCCCAAAATGATATAATGTAACACTGAGAAAAGATGACAAAGAAACTAACATTTTCAAATGCCTTTACAAGACCTGCAGAAAGGAAAAAAAAAAACACAGTTAAAAGAATATTGTTATATTAAGTTGATAGAGGTCTTACTGATCTCCTTTTGTGGGCAGCATGATAATGGCACGTGCCTTATTGGCTGCTGCTCTTTCAAATGATTTTGTCAAACTAAGGCTGCAACTGCACAAGCAGAACAATGTTTAAGAATCAAAGCATAATGACCACAGATAGTTCTAAAACAACCAATCAGAATTTATATCTATCCCACGAAAACCTTGGAGGATCAAAGTTTACAAATTAAACAAAGAAGCAAGAAAAAACATTTTAAGAAGTGAAAGGATACTGAGATAACAACTCTAAAGTTTCTCTTGTGCACTACTTATGTACTGAGTCTCAGTCCTGAGATTTTAAATTAAGATGCATACTAGAAACAGCAACAAAAAAACAAAGCCCCCAGCACAAGGGGTCAGGTACTTCCCACTGTGCTCTATTCAGGAAAATATCTTGAATTAGATTAATAAAAGCAAGGTCCTCAATAGTTTCTGCACATCTCCTTTGGTTTTCTCCTTCCACTTTTGACATAGCATACTCTTAAAGTGCATCACTGACAAGGGATGCCCTACTTTTAACACAATTCCTAATCTAATCAATACTTACGTATAGTTAAAAATGTTATGCACTGACTGCTGGTCGTCATTTATACAAGCTTGGAAGTGGCTATGAAAGGGAAACATAATTGGAGTTTGTATATTGAAGGGGAAAGAGGACACAGTTCTTATACCTCCTTGTAAGGATATCAATATGGTTAAAATCCTTGGCAATATTGTCAGCTAGCTTGTCCATTTGCTTCCTCGGAAGATCAGACATAAGAATAATTCTCTGCCTCCTATGAAAACATAACGAAGGTACAATGACAGAAACCAATATTCTGCATGCAGAAATACAAAACCAATGGTGGCATAATACTAACCTGGCTGTAGCAGTACCTAAACGGACAGCAAATTCATGATACTTATTTAGCTGCTTTAGTATGAAAGCCAGACGACTGTTTACACCGCAAATGATGATATGATCAGTCTCCAAAACTTGCATTTGTGCACCTTCCCTGAGTTTTTGCATGTTGTTCTGTCAACCAAAAACTAAATGTCAAGGGCATGTAGGGTAGCTTAAGCAAATAATGGGAGCTATTAAAAGAAAAGGAAAAGGTAAAACTAGCTCTTGTCATAAGTACTTACTCTGAACTGTTCTGTCATTGTACTTAACAACCGAGAATAAAATAATATGCCCCATATAGCAAGAACGAAGCCAATAACACGTTCGATACGTGTTCTTTGCTGTAGTTCAACATGTGAATTTGTTTTTCAGATGCTAAAGTTTTCAAATTTGATTTTGTAATCATGGAAGCAATATGAAAGCAATCATAGCTTAAAGCAACCAAATTATTAGATACTTATCACACCACGCACTTTTAAATGAGTAGATGATGAACACAGGCATGCCCAAGCCTCCCAGAAGCAGTCCTCTAGAGACTGTGCATTACCCCTGTGTTATTCCAGGCACAGCTACCAGATTAGCAAACAAAAGTAGCATTATGGATTGGTGGATTGGCAGCAAATAACATACAATCAGCATGTATGAAGATGATGGACTAAAAAGAATAAAACCAAAACAAGCATTGACCACGAGGCTTGAACCCAGTGGCCATGTACCCACCATAAGGGTGGGTGAGTAACATGCAGACGTCATGCTTTCATAGGTTTATTCCATCAACAAATTCCTAGCAGAATTTTTTTTTCCTAAAAAAGGTTTAAAGATAACACAAGCAGTACTAAATCACCACCAACTACCATCTAACTTGTGCCATATAGATTTCATCAAGTTGTGCAGGTTGTCTAACGCAAAATCCAACAATAGGTAAATCCATCAACAATGATTGATTCCATATAATACTGTACAATTTATTTGTCATTATCTAATGAAGTTACAACATAGAGATTAGAGAAGTACGAAAGAGAGATAAAATGGTTCTGAAAATTACTAAAACAATCCAGAGGGGAATCATAAACAAATGAGAAACAACTAATGTTGCAAACATTCACCATGACAAAAAGATATGCTTACACTACAACCTTTCACATTGTCTTGTACTTTCGATGAATCCAAGATATATCCAGGACAAAATGAATAGAAGAAATGATCATTGGGCTCTGAATAATGATACATGATGAAGAAATTCTTGGTTCAAGTACCACATTAAGACAAAAGTATCACATGTATGACGTCTTATTTCTTTTCTGTTTTCTCATTTCTTTTTAATCCTGGTCAGATCATAAAACATAACAAAGAGAAGCTACAAAGGGAAATGTAATTTTAAATTTTTTTTTTTTAGGAACATAATCCAAAGTATAAAAGTTATTGCAGAAAAATTAAACACAACAAAACTTCACAAAGCCTAACATCCCATTTACCATAAACATGCCACAATCATATATAAACAAGATTGACTGTACATTTACCATTCAATAATCAAGATTGATTGTACCTTACCTAAACTTGAAGAAGAGTAAACCACCAATAACAACAAATGAGAAGCATGCTACAAGGAGAACCACAAGAAACCTACAAATGTTTGAAACAAGTGAATCACTCAATTCTGAAGACATATATCCTAAACTATAAGTCAACGCAGACTCAAGAAGGGAATAAAATTTAAATATATTAAACAGGATATATAGAACATAAACAACTTTTAACCTGTGACAAATTTTATTCAGCAAAAGCAAGTTGGTTATGATTGTACATAGCTTACACGTTTCAGGTTCTACCAAGATCTTAAACTACATTAGCAATACAAAAAACAGAATTCATATACAAGGTCTCTTGTGAAGCTCTGAGGAAGATTTTCAAGTGTCAAACTTCCACATGCTTCTTTATTAAGACTTATTTGAGTGAAGAATAATGTGGCAATAAAAAGGCATTGTTTTCTTTATTCATCCATACACAATTAGAATCATTATCGGCTTTTAACATACTTAATTTATTACTACTCAGTCATTATTAATAGCCAAATATCAGACTGAAGGCTTAAACTGATAGGTCAAGACCAAACTGACTCAAGAGGCCCCTCACTTGCCAGCCTACTGGGCTCTGCATGTGGAAGTGGTCCAAGACAGGCTCCAAATCCACTTACCATGTGAAGATTATAATTGTAACATGACAAGGGGTGCCAGGCTTTCATCTGTTGGAACCAATAAGTCAACCTGGCTTTGATGCCATGATAGCCAACAGACCTAAAAGCTTACACTAACAGATGGGGGCCAAACTAGTATTATATCTCCAAAAGATTTGGATCCCTGTCAAAGCTCTGTGATATCAATCTACTGTGAAACTAAGTTCATGCTTCTTAAAAGGGATCACTCATCAGTCTTGGTAAAGCAGGTCCTAAGAAGGGTCATCTATACATGATCAAGTGCTTGATATTGTCGCACAAAGTGATCATTGCTAATTGTAGAACCAGCACTTTTACACCAATCACTGTCAGACCTTTGCCATTGTACTAGAAAATGACCAATGATAGTGCATGATTACTAAGTCCAGCCAAAAGTCATAGTAATTGACCACTACAAACCAGAAAAATATAGATGGTAAGTTTCACTTACGTAGCAACATTTTTCTCCAGTTGAATGTTGAATAAATACAGTAACCGGGCAACGTTCCATCTAATATCCTGAATTGAAGGCAAGGACACATCCAAGTTAAGAGGGGTTGGTTTATTCAAAGAATTAGACATGCAGGCAAGAGGTAAACTTGTAGCCCCCGAAGTCTGAAGTCGAGATGGAAAAAAGTCTTGGACCATCTTTATTAATGTGTTGACAAAATCTAATTGCATCAGTCTCCGCAAGAAAAATGATGACATAGTTCCAGTGATCAGTTTAGTTTGGTAACCCTGCACCTGCAGTGATGACAATCAAGAAAATAAGGACACCATAAGCCATAGCTTATCCCCTGTTCCAAGAAAAGAAAAAGAATGACTACACAGCAAGTTTCTACAAGACAAAATAATGATAATGTAGAAATAGCAGGCACAGAAAGTGTACCCCTGATTGTTTGTCAAAGCATACTGTAGCAAAAGAAAGGTGTGCTAACAGAGATGAAAATTCAGAGGTGCAAACAGTTACTAGAGCAACCTTCCACCATATTGACAGCAGCCAAATAAACAAGGCAATTATAAGCATCACCAAATAATTTAGTAAACATCAAAATTGCAATTATCTAAGAAGTTCAGAATATTGTAATAAACAATGCCAACAAACTTCAATATCATTTTCTTAGGAAGAAAGAAAGTCTTGTGCTGCAAGCATATCTCCTTTCTTTTGGTTTCCTCTCATTTACATCCACAGCCCAACAATAGGTTATTCTCATCTTCTTGTCCTCCACTCTATGTTATAATTTCCTTTAGGTTCATGTTCAGAGCCATAAGTCCATCAGTAATATATTAAACAATAGGGATCATTGTGCACAATCAAGCTTTCACCAGATTAAGGCTTGACTAAGTTGATTTAGCCTCCAAGGTCATTTTTCCCCCTTCATTCACTGAAAGAGGAAGAAGATTTTCATTTTATTTTATTTTTTTTGTTTTTAATGGAAAGAGGAAGACAATTTTGTAGTCAAAGCAGACTCATATTATGGTATCATGTACTGACAAAGCTCCTATTCCTTTCATTTAATCTTAAAGCAATTTATATTCTGTTTCAGCATTCCCATTTTTGTTTCACATCTATTCTACCTTGGTTCCTTTTATTATATCCCATCCAGAGAACAAATTTCTCCGATGCACCCTGCCCACTTGTGTTGCTTCAGTGCCACATCAAATTCATCCTTCAACCAGTCCTCCTCCTTTATTAGCTCATCTACCTTCTGTCTTCCAGCATTCCTACCGCTTAATCAATATCAACCAGAGACTTTCATCTCCACAACCAACCAAATATGAATTTCACAAATTCTCCTCGGATCTCTTCTTGTTTTTGTACCACCATAACCAAGCTGCTAAAATTTCCTCACCTGCTGGAAGGTGCCACTGTAGGTATGAAGCTTCCACAAAGCATCAACTTCATTTCAGCATATAGGGAGGCACATTAAACAGAGACTGACTTCTATGCTATACCTCAGTCCAACTACTTTTGTCTAAGAATTAAAATAAATGCAATATGGAAACAAAATCAGTAAGGAATCCGAAAATACAATTCCTAACTGACAATTTAATATCTCTCCTGTTAGACTCTCTCATATCAATACTGATATGAGGTATTGCAACTATATTGGTCATATTACAGTCAATAACAGGCTCTCAAAAGATTAGGCAGAATGAATATGCCAAGATGGCTCACTCCTGCTCCTCTCCAGAAAATGAAGAGAGACAAAAAACAACCAACCAGCAGATGCATATATCACTTGAATAACAACTAACTATCAGTATAGAAGAAGATATCACTGATTGGAAAGAAATATATCATAAATTCAGGTCCTGATAACAAATTGATAGAACATATCCATTTATAACATTAAGATAGAACATCAATTTCAACTCTTTTAGCATCCAAGATTTAAGCCTCACCTGAGAACTATTTTGCAGGTCCATCCTAAAGAATTTGGCATTTGAACTATCTGAAACATAATGCAACTTATTTGTTGTTCTCTGACAAGTAACCTTCCATTTTCCTGGAGAATGAAAGCTATCACAATTCTTTTGAGATATGAAAAAACATTTTTAAATTTTTTAGAAAAAAAAAAAAAGGGAAGAACAAGATGTTCTAACATACTTTCAAAGGAACTAAAAGTGCGGCCAATCCTCATATATATTAATTAGAAAGCATAATTTTAAGTGTAACTATGAGCCTGTAAAACACAAGCAAGCATATTTCATTTTCATAACCCTCTTTCCTTACTCAGCCATCCCAACATGGCTAACAACTGTTCATATCATAAGTTGAATTGAGCACAAAAGTTAACAGTTTGGTTTACCTTCATATTATTGGGGTCAAAAATAGATTGACCCGCATAACATACTTATGAAACAAGCCAGACTTAACTTGCACAACTACAAATCAACAACAATGATTAGTCCGGTTATGAAGACTCATTTGATAGAACAATCCAAAATTACCTATTTAACCCCATCTGATAGAAGTTAAAAAGAGTGATTCAGAAACAGTAACAGTTTCACAGTTAACATCAATAAACAACGATTACTTACTTATTGATAGGAACAGAACATAGGTATCTATTTGGCAAGGCCTTAATGCAGATGGTTAGGACTCACCTCTATTGCGTATCACAAAGTCATGTACATTGTAAGATGAAGAATTCTTCCACCAAAAGCTGCATAGCATTGATTTCTGGAAAAGTATTGTATCGTTTGAGCCTCTTGTGCTTTGTGTTCTGCAACAACATTCAAAACCTTCATATGCATATTTATTGCATTCAAATAGCAGAGCTCTCCTACATCCATCTACAAAAATTGAATAAGTAAAGGCAGTTCTTCACATCACATGCTATTTCTCAAACCACAAGCCTTCCTTCAGAAACGTGTGGTTATGTGATTGATCAAGCCAAAAGACAGGGGAAGAGAGAGAAAGAAAAAGGCAATCTTGTCTCTGATCAAACAATTTGACATCAAATCATTACTAGCAGAAGGGGCATCATCATCATCCACGCAGAACGTGTCAACCCAATTGTAAGGAGACTTTGCATCAACACCTATCTCATTTAGCTGTCGCTTCAGCTTTGATAAATTGCAACAGTCAAAAAAATGGATGCTTTTAAGCCCAATGCTGTTCCAACACTTGTTTGAACAGGGTTCACTCAGTTAGATTAACTCCAAATCCAAATAAAAAAGCCCTCTCCTTTGATTTATAAATGGGAAAAAGAAGAAATGGCATGATCGGGAACCAGTCACCGCTTAATACGACAAATAATACACACTGCTCAGCGGTCATCACTCCCCAGCTAGTTGATTAACTATAGCTACAACTATCGCCATGATAGTGCATAGAATGCCGATGCTTTGGAGATTTGACTTGGAAACATAGTCCAAAGGCAGATCAAAAGCACATATAGGACCCCAAAAAGGAAACCTTTAACAGCGTAAATAACCATACAGACCAATTCATTTCAATCTTTAAGTCCATCTACAATAAAGATTCAGAGAAAAATGAACCTTCCAAAATCATGTGATCACCAATGCATTAACTCCGAAAAAAATAAAAAAACCCAAATGCATAAGTCCAATTAATTCGAGTTCAAACAAAGAAAAAACAGAGACTTGAAGATGAAAAAGTACCTGGTTGAAGAAGTTTGAGTCAGCCTGGCAATTCTTGGGGGCAAGAGCAATGGCTGGGGGCTTTGCGACAGACAAGAAATCATCTTTTCTTCCGTCCCTCTCTCGCGGTGAGGGAGAAAAAAGAAGCCACATAAAAGTGAAGAAACTCTTAATATGGGATTGGAAGAAATAGACAGAAAGTGACAACAATAAGTAATTAGAATCTAAAGAGAAGTGGAGTTAGATGTTTTTGGATTTTGTCCATGGAATGAAAATATGAAGAGAGGTAGAACCGTAGGAGGTAGGAAGGACGGTGATGAGCCAGATGGTCCAACAGAGAACCTCTAAACATAGGAGCTTTAGCTGTCGTTTTCAATTGAGGGAAGTCACTGCACCAATCTCGACCACTTGCCCACTTCATGTCTGTACTACATGGAAGCAAATGTTGATTATCCCTTCTCGTCTCTTCCTTAAGAAACGTCATCGCAGAACCTCATTTTCCTCGAAAATATAGTGACCCCTTTCTCTGTAATGTTAAGATACAAATTGATTTACATTAATAAAAAAATTTCATATGATTGAATATAAATATATGGTATTTTGATTGATTTAATAGTAAATTATGCCACATACTCAAGCAATAAAGGTTACTTGATAAACAAAATTAAGAATAAAAACAAATGTTATATTTATATATATACAAAAAAATTTTATTTATATATATTTACAAAAAATAATATTAAGATTTGTTTCGACTAATAGAAGTAAAATTTAGATAAATTATCTATATGTGGACCACTAAACACTTACCTGCTTCAATGCCGTGATGGTAACGTAGAAGTTTATGAAATAAAATTTCATAGGAGAATGACAGGGAAATTTTGTACGAATTCAATAATATCTTAAAACTAAAAGTCTGTTTTTGTATTTCATGTAAATAGAAAAGCTCAAAAATGATATTATATATTAATTAATTAACAACTAATTATACCTTTAAAATATTGTTTTTCATTGAAAAGAAGGGATCTAATGTGGAGCACGCGCAACTGCAAGTCAATCATGCAACTAACGACTAAGTTGTTATTTCTATGATAATTCTGGGCCTACCCTGTCTGTCCCACTGGCCACTGGTCCCCAAAGCAGCTCTGGCCCACTTGCATTCTGTCTTTTAAAAAAAAAAAAAAAGGAAAATTTCTCAGTGCAAACTCGGAGATTTGTGCTACATTTTAAAGACAGAGATCAACCAATTTAATTATTATAAATAATTTATTGGGTTTTATGAATTAATCACATGTTTTTATTTATTTGCCAATGCGCTCTATGCCCTTGCTCAATGGCATTAAGTAGTTACCTATTCTGGATCCCTGATGGATAAAGGAGAGAGCCCCAAATGCCAAAGCCCAAAATCCATCTAGACACCACTCTTTGTCTCTGGCTGTGTGTGGGTCTTTGTTTTAATGTAACCTTTTGCTATATGTAGTGTCTTTTCATAGTGCTGAAACTCTTCGGCTTGCAATAGGACCACTGGCCGAACCATCAATGGGATGGGATGTCTTTCACCTTCATTTTGCACCACGAAGCAGTTGCTCTCCAGGGTTAGCTTCAATTATTGAAGTCATGAAAATATATATGAGCTTTGGATTATTTGATGGCTTAGCGGTGGGCAGAGATGTGGCTTGTCATGCTTCTTGACCCTAGGTGAGAGCTGGGAAAGATGGGCAAGGATAAGGCCTCTTTGATATTTGTTCATGATATATTCAGATAACATAAAATATGCGGCACAAATCATTTTATCTACCATTTCAACTTACTTTTCAATGATTGTACTGGTTCAAATTACTATTAGAAATTTTCATTCCATATGATCATGCCACATGAGAAAGTAGGCATTTCTAGTGAAATAGATGAAGAAGACACTGCTGTATGATTCCCTTCAAATTCTGGAAAACATACAACAGTAGACACTTAAAAAACTCCAGTGACACAAGCAGGAGATCGACTGACATTAGCTCTATTCTGGTTTCTTCACTACCGCATGAGAGCTGGGTTTTGCTGTTATAACACCTCTAGCTTTCTCTGCAACAATCATGCCAGTGGCTAAAACATGTCTTGATGGAAAGAGTTTTGTTGTTCAGTCACGAAGTAGTTAATATGGCCTTGTTTGTACAAACATCTACGGAATTTGGAGGCATGAATACTTGTAGGTGGTATGGTGGGTAAGGCCCCCTCAGCAATTATTGCAACAGTACTATATGTAGATTAGATGGTTGTCCGGCAAACGTTGCTAGCTTACGAAAGTACGTTCAAGATGATGTTGCCATCTTGACTGTTTTGGTACTTTGTTTTGATCAGGATGTACTTCAGTCGATCAGATGATTGTTACTGGTAACCACTTTTGGTTTCGCCATTAAAAGCAGTTGTAGCTTTATCAAAATCTTCCATGGCCCATAACTATTAAACTCAGTGAAAAGAAATATTTAAATATTTAATTTATTGGTTGATATATATATTTTTTATAATTTTGTTTATTATATAGGAGATGGCTAAGTCATTCTGACCCAAGGAATAATTTTGAACTTTCTATTTGGGCCACAACAGTAGTTTCTGAGTTCAGGGCCATGATTAAAAAACCAGTCCTCGATAGCTCTGCCTCTAGATTGAAAGCTCTAAAACTAGCTGCACTGTTTAACTTCGTTTTCAGCATTCCAGGAAGCTTCTGTACTGCTAAATTTCCAGAATTAAAAGAGTTATCATTCAGAACATGTAGATAGATGCTCTATGGTTTTATGCAGTGAAATATTGCTTTGCATTTTATAACAAAAAGGAAAATGACTTGATTTTCTCAAGTTTATGTGCTCCACACCACTTGTCTTCCTCCTAAATTCCCTCAAGCAAAATAAAAACTTGCAGTCCTTTATTTACTTTATAAATTGTGATATAACTCATGCTCTTCAAAAGTTTATAAAGGTACAACCACATCTACTACAAGTCTACAACCTTACAGGCATACTTATTGGGGAGAGTCAATTTTCAGACGTGCTGGACAGCTACTGCTAGTTTGCTACAAAGTGTTACTACTCTGAATGATTTAGTATAACATTACATTACAACAGAAGAGGTCCCTAACCTTGAGCAATTTATCTTGCAACCACCGGAGGAGCTGATAATCCATCTTCTGATACATCAAAAAATAAATCATCACTCTTAGACAATGCATAAACAATATCCACCATGCTAGGCCTCCTTGAAGGGTCTTTATTCAAACAAGCAATGGCAACAGCCATTACACTCATCACACTCTCCATTGAGCAAGACTCCTCCAGTAGACGTCCATCCATCCAGTCCCTCACTTTTTTCACCTTCCTCTCCTCATTCCCCTCCAAAATTCCATTAACACTTGCCTGCAGAAGCTTCCCTTCTTGATCAATGGCCTCCCTGCCAGATATAAGCTCAAGCAAAACCACCCCAAAGGAGAAAACATCCATCTTTGTTGAGACCACCCCATCTGCTAGATACTCAGGTGCAATGTAACCTTGAGTGCCAACAATGTGCATTGTTATGGCATTGCAGCCTGATTTTGCTAGTCCAAAATTGGCGATTTTGGCCCTCATGTTGGAGTCCAATAGAATGTTGCTGCTTTTGAGGTCTTTATGTACAACTCGTGGCCTTGTATGCTCATGGATATATTGCAGACCATTTGCAACATCAACGGCTATCCTTAACCTTGTTTTCCAGTTTAGTTTTTCATTCTCGTTTTCATGAAGCCAAGAGTAAAGAGAGCCATTTTCAATGAACTCGTACACCAGATAGCAATTTGTATCTTCAGGGTCTATGCAGAAGCCCTCCAACTTCACCAGATTTCCATGGTTTACCTTCAGATGACAAAGCCAGAATCATGATTTAGTTATATTTGCCACTCACATAATGTTTTTTGAAGAAATAAAAGCTTTAAATTCAATGATCAGTGTAATCCAAAAACAATTATTATTCTTTCAAGTCAAAGTGCTTTGGTATTTCAAAATTTTAGGATCTACTTCATGGCAATGATGCCAAAATGTGCTTCCTTCCTCAGGTTTATGTTACCTACTACTATGACTTTATTTCATTAAGAAAATGCAATCATCTAAGAATATTCCCCACCAAAGAACAAGGGTAATGATACCAGCCAGAAAACAATTATCAAAGCAAAAAGCAGGCAGGACATAGGTGGAAATTTAAAATATACTGTAATAGCTGTAGAATATAAAATAGGATGGTCATCCTTCCCATGGTTTATGATTTTATGTTTTTAGGCTTCTTTCATCCTATTACCATCAGGCATCAGACACTGATTTCATTTGACTTCAACAGGGCATCAAAGGGTTTTTTTTTTTTTTCAGTTTTTATGTGAACATTTCTTAGTTTAGCTGATTACAATACTGTCCAAACCTAAATACATGGGGCAGGCCCCCCAGGGTGAGTTCACCTGTGAGCCTGACATTTCAATGTTTCGAGTCAAGCACTAAAGAGCCTCCCAACTCCCAATTGCCAAACCAAATACAAAAAGTTTAAACTCCTTACCAGGGAGTATTAAAAACAATTTAAATTCTTAATTAACCTAATGAATAAGCAGGTCACTTAAACCTAACCATTATTTTATTGGTAATAGAAAATTAGACAATTTCTATCAGCATTTGTTAATGTGGTCCTTCTAGTGATGTCCTTATCTGCTAAGAAATCTTTCAATCCTCCCATCAAAGAACTCATTATCTCTACTTATTTCCCATGTTATTAGAATTGTTTTCACATGACTCCTGGGAAAATCTTCACAGATTAGTCCTAAGCAAGAATATGTAACGCCAGAAAAGAAACCTAGAAGAGCTGAAATGTCACTGAAGAAACTAGAAACTTTTGCAAAAGACAAGGAAATGATACCTTCTGTAAGATCTTAAGCTCCTCGCAGGCATTCCACTTCATCTTCTTTATGGCATAGATATCTCCATGAATGGACCCTTTGTACACAGATCCTTGAATCAAGCAACTCTCACTAAAGTAATCAGTGGCTTCTCTAAGTTCTTCAATTTTGAACACCCTGTACTTATCCAAGCAATCTGAAACATCTGCCATCAAATTTACTTCCATTCCCTTCATCCCCATCCCAGGCCTATTAAACTTTAGATTCTGCCTCTCCGCATCTTCCATATCCCTTCTCTTGGACAAAACCTCTCTATGATGCAACACCACAAAGGACAAAACCAACAACACTCCGCAAATTCCTAACCCAATTGCTAATCCTACAATGACCCCTTTCCTCTCAGTCTTTCCGGGAGAGGCTGCAGGACCTACCTCAGGCTGAGATAATACAGGTAGTCGATTGACCGGAATGAATATGGTGTCAGAGGGCTGAATGTTATTGCCATTCAAATCGGTTATAGCCTGAGTTTGAACTCCAAACCTTGAAGCAACTAATGATACGTTGTCAGAAGGCTGAAACACATAAGAAACAAGGTAATTCACTCCATTTTGCACCTGTGTTTCATTAGGGCATTTGCAAAAGATTGGAAAGACAATTTTGTCACCTATTTCAAGTTGGGTAGGGACGAAAGTAGGATTGAAAACTTCAACAGACTGGTAAGTGGTAAGATTTTGAAAATTACTGGTTGACACGATATAGAAAGTATCACCAGCTTTGATTGTGTAAGTGAGATTGGCAGCTGAAAGACTACCAAAAGTTGCGTTTGTGGGGTTGCACGAACATGTTATGGGGACAAAGAGGGACTGATCGGCGATGAGAGGAGACGATGGGGAGGAAATATTGCTTGGTTCTGATATCATGAGACGACTGACATGGAAAAGGTCCCCAATGGAAGCCAGGTCAAGGAAGTCAGGAGCAGTGGCTCGGTAGAAAGCATAGGTTTGGCATGGATAAGTGGTCTGGTTGGCTGTGCAATTGTAGCCTGTGATGTTTGGTGGGAGTTGGGAACGGACCGAACGGTGGAAGAGGAAGAATAGAAGCAGACAAGAGAAAGAGAAGAGGTGGGGCTTGGTTCTCATTTTTGCTTTGTTTCTTGGTTCTGCTTCGAGCTTCGGCTGGTTGGTTTATAAATGATATGCAAATAGCCTCAAGTATGGAAACTTGGAAAAGTGAAACCGGGAACGCTTGTAGTCTTTTGTTGACAATCAAGCTGGCACTGGGAATAAAATATTACTTTCTCCGGGGCTTGGGTCCTACAACATGGTGGATGAATTCCCACCTGCAAGAATTGAAGAGTTGATACGGCAATCAGATGCCAGTACTAGAGATATTTATATGTATATTTCTCTGCTTTCGTTAGAAATACAATTGCTTGGGTCATAAATTTTGACCGGGCCATGGAAAACCTAGTATACTGAGTTTGATCATTCAATATGAGATAAGGTTTGAGTTGTGCACTCTTGATGATTCAACAGTATTTTAAGCAAGCAACAATCTTTGCACAAGTTGGCTTGATGCTAACGGCTAACCCTTTTCACTGTAAATTGTGAAATCCGCCAAATCTGAAAGCAAACGAATCTGGTAAATGGAAAGACTGGAAATTTCAAGGCATCTCCATGTCAAGTCTTTGGTTGTAGTAGTTTCAACCGAAAGTTACTCATCTGACTAATAATTGTTTGGAGTGGCAGTGACTTCTGGGCTGAATGCTGAAAATGTAATAGCCAATAAGGTACTTGCTGTCGGGAGATATTCAGTCATTAAACAAAAATCTCAATCAATTACCTCACATCAGAGAACTAATACTTTGACGCTGTCAATACTATGTTCATGTTTAATTTAGTCATGGTGAAGTTTTGGCAATGACTAATGAACTACTACTCCTGAACGCATAACCTAAGAACCAATTTGTGGTAAAGCTTTGGAAGACTTGAAAAAAATGGTGCTTTTGAAAATTCAAATGCTATGTTTGAAACGCAAGGGAAGTTTTCATATCCAAGTTTGAGTTGGATTTTTGGCATTGACAGCTTCTTGCTTCTAGTAGTCTCTACACGAGATATCAGTGTTCTATACGAAAGGCGGTGACATCGTACAAAATCAAGACTAATAGTGACTGTTTACATAAATTTTGTGTGCAATGGGGCGTAGAAGTCCTCATATCAAAGATAAGAACAGAATAAGAGAAAATCTTTCAAAGAAGAGGGAGACCTAGACATTACAAAATAAACTCAAGCACTGCTGCATTCAAGGTCCTATTTCATAAAACGTTATTGGCAGAAGATGATGAAGAAAGTTTGTCAGCAGATAAGAAAGCAGAAATTTAAGCAAGAATGAGCGTGGCAAATGAAAGAATTGAAGAACTAGTCTGAATGCTACCATGTAAAGTGAGGAGTTGATAGAATTTGTACAAAAGTTTCGTCTGATTTCATTCTCTGAATATCACTTCAAAAACAAATGATGGATCCTGATCTGTGGCATTTTACGAACCTTCTTAAGCAAGCATAATAAAAGTCACTTCCACCACTCTCAGGTCTATGATGGACAGTGGCAGTCTAGCTCTTAAGACTACAATTGCTATCAAACAGAATTTGAGCAGTCAATTTTATTGAAGAACCAAAATTAAACTATATATATTGAAGCTTTCAGTTTGGAGTTGGGGACTTGGGATAACATTTTGTTCTCACTGCATAAGGCCACAAACTTTACAAAACAGAGAATTTGCACTTGTGAAGAACAAGGAAAGAGAAGGAAATAAATGGAAAAAAAAAAAAAAGCTATACCTTCCATGCTTGCATAGCTATAGCTAATAATTACAATTCTCTTTGCTCAGGAAAAGTTCTCTTTGTTATATCATCCTTCTTGATAGTGAAATCCCAGAGATCTCCATATTTCTCATTAAAATCCCATATGCTCATGGTATTGTAGTCATTGATTAGCTTATCACGAGCTCCCCTCTCCATGTTATATATCTGAGGCTCAAAGTGATGGGGCTGATCGGGTTTATCCATCTCAATTATACAAAATATAGCCGTAAAGACAGCAGCTCCAATGAACAAGTACTCCCCCTAAAATTCATCAAAGAAAACTTGTCAATCATTATGAACAGACTATGGTCTGTTTGCTTTCTTCTAAATCTTCACTCTGTCAACTGATTTTTTACATTTTTCTAAAGAAAATCTAAAATCTAAAGGCAGATTTGGAATTACAGGAACATTGAAAAACATTCCAGCAGCAATTGCAGGAAGGAAGAGCCATGAAATAAGCCCTGCATAATAGTTGAAGATAGTCAGTTACAAATTGTCCAAGAAAAGTATATAAAAGGAATAAGATAGGCCTTCAACTCCTGTAATTTAGTCTTTATTTAGTATGACACGAAGAATCTATGTTACCAACTTAGTTATCAAGGATCAGAGATTTGTAATTGATACCTTGGAACCCTGTAGGAGGTTCTATAGCGGCAATGTCATCTGCAATTGCTCCCCAAAATGTTCCTGAAATAAAGCTGCAATTAGAAGTAGGAACTTGATTGATAGCAATAAAACCACACCCCCATTTGTTAAAGAACAACATCAAATTTCATTCTTTAAGATACTAAACTTCACATCTGAGTGATGATATTATGAAAGGAAAGAAAAAAGAAAACACATCCAAGTACCTTTCTCATCTCCTTCAAAATATGTGTGGTGCTCATCATATTCCCCATACTTAAAATCTTCCTACAATCAGCAAACAGAAGCATTGGAATCAACCAAAATATGAACACTTATGCTAAAAATGCTCCTGACAGGTCCATGTTCAAATCTAATGAATAAAGACAATCTAATCAAATTCTTGAAAGTCTCAGGTTCATACTATCCAGAATCCCACTTTAGAAGTAAAGACGAACTGAACTTACAGGGCTGACACTGTTGGTGGCCCATCTGTCAATAGGGTCTTCATTGAGATCAGGTTCAATCTCAGACAACCCTGCAGCATTCAATCTTGTTAACAGGCTTCTACCACCATGGTTTCTAACCACCTTGAGATGAACAGAAGAAACCTCTCTTTGGTTGAAAACCTTAACTTTACTTTCAATGTTCTTAGATCTGATTTTAGGCACTGAATTCACTGAGACAACCGAGAGTGGTGCATGAACTGACATTTTTGTTCCTCTATTTTTATCTTCTTTATTAGCATTTCAGCTTCGGCATGCAACGCCCGCCTTCCTTAGTTTTAACGGATTGAACTTTCTAACCGACTGCTTGGTGTGTGCGTTGCATGAATGACCAATTACATGGAACCACGTTTTACATGCGCTCCTGGTGGGGATTACTTGGTGCAATTTGGTTGGGTTTTCACATTTGCCCTGTCTCGCAGCAAGGAAGTTTGGGTTGGTTCAATGGGCGTTAAATGAACGATGGAGAATGCCAGGCTCGTTATCCACTTTCCTGGGTCGTATTTAGGCCTAAGCTGAGCGGGGGTACTCCTGCTGGCCCCGTCACACGAATTAGCACGAGACAGGCCATTCCCGTCCCGCCCTGTCAAGGCTGGAGTGAAGAGACCTAGTATGTATGGCTAAGGGCCCATACCTGTCTCTGGGCAATATGATATTCCAATGGCAAACGACAAAGACACACGTATCCGCACAAAGGTTGCCTGATAATCATAATTTTTTATTTACAGTAATAAACAAACTTATCTTAATCATATTGTTCCAATCCTAATACAGCGGTACTATTACAAGGTTGTCCCTTGAATTGGATATTTGGCAGGGGCATCTACTCCTCTAAAAGGAAAAAAGGAAAAAAGTCAGTGTATTAGTAGAAGATATTAAAAATGTCGAAGTGGGTATCTTAAAATGAGTAGGACTTTGGCGTTGGCATCCTTCCACAGAGTCAGCACCATCTCTAATTGGTCCGTGACCTTGGCAACTTCTCCTCGATTGTCTCCTCCATTTTTTTCTGTTCAACTTCGTCGTCCCTCACTCTTTCACTTAACTCCCATTTCTCATTACACGTAAGCTCACCCCCTCTCTTTGTTTCTCTGCTTTCTCTACATTTTCATCCTGCGCCTCAGTGAAAAGAACTATTTTTTGCTGCTTTGCTGGTAAAATGTTTGATGGGTATCTTTTGTTCAGTCTCTTTGTTGATTGTTTCATATTCGTTGCGGTGATCTATTAAGTATAAATTTTAGTTTTTGTCATTACAGTTCGATTCTAAAAAGTTGCTGATCAGTTTCTTCTTCTAATCATATCTTGATTAATGGAATGGTTATAGCACCCTTAGATGGGGTAATCAGTGGAAATATCTCGAAAAGATTGATTTTGGGAATTCGGTTTTGCTTAAAAACTCTATTGTTTCGGGTCTGCAAGACCTGTGCAGTTGCGTAAGTAGTATAATTCAAACTTACTGCGAAGAATGATCGCAAAGAATGCAACTTAGTCTATGCAGAATGTCAGGAATTTTCTTTGTTCCTTTTGTATTGAATTGAATCGTTTCAGGTCTGCTAATCTATGCCTGTTTCTGAGACTGTTGATTTTGATGAACTTAGAATCTCTATCCAAAGACTACCTTAGCACTTGAGAGTTGTTTGTGATTTTAGTTTGGAGCCAACTAGATAAGTATTTGAGGCAATATCTTAGCAGAAAAGATAATGGAAAAGGAAAATATGCAATGTCAAAGTACGGCGGCTTATCTACTGTTGGTTTCAATTACCAGCCTCTATTGAATTTAAGATTATTCAAAGTTGGAATGTAAATCATATCAGTAGATACCAGTGTTTCACATCCATGATTCTTCTCCCATATTCTTTCAAAGCATTCCCCATTGCATCTTTTTCTCACTTTTCTCCTTTTCATCTATAATGCCATTCTTAAATTATCTGTTTTAACGTAGTTATTTTGTTGTTTTGCAATATTCATATGCTGTGCTTTCTGAAGCAGAGGCCTAATATGATAAAATTTCAAATTTATCACTACATCTTATTGTTTCTTTTTGGATAAGATGGTAGAGTAGAATATTGCGGGTGCTTCTTTGATGTTATATGAGTGCCACTTATTATCTGATGATGAGGTAATGGGATTTTTTTGGTAGATAGATTGTATTGATTGACAATTTTGTTGCTTTAATATGTGAAGCGCAGTCTTATTCTCAATGTTTCTGCCTAGTTTGCTGTTAGTTCTTCCTTATTGATTTTCTTTTCCATCCAACATGTAGCAAAAAACTGTCAGCTGTTTTGGCCATGGATTCTTCTAAAGCTGGTTTGGTGAAGGAATTACCAGTTGGGCTAGACGAAGCTACTGAAGAAGAATATGCTTCTCAGTCTAAATTACTTCAAGAATTTACTAGTATCTCCAGCATTGACAAGGCATGGATTTTTAAGTCTGACAGTGGTAGGATAGCTAAAGTTTCTTTATCTTTTTCTTTCTTACTACGCCTCTTTATATTTGAAAAGCAAAAAGCTATTACTGATCCTTATGCTATTTATGAAACTGTTGCTGCAGGAAAGGGCTCCCAGGCAATGTTTTCAATTAGCCAACCAAATCTTTTGGCAAACAAGAAACGAAAATTTATGCTGTCCAGTAGTATTTCAAAAGAAAGTATTAATGATGTAAACTTCCAATGGGCCCCATTTCCCATAGAGATGACAGGAGTGTCTTTATTTGTTCCCTCACCATCAGGTTCAAAGCTTCTTGTAATTCGAAATCCTGAAAATGAATCTCCCTCGCAATTTGAAATATGGAGTTCATCTCAGTTGGAGAAGGAGTTCCTGATTCCCCAGTCTGTTCATGGCTCAGTCTATGCTGATGGATGGTAAAGGACTTAATGAATCTTTCAATCATCTTTTCTCTGATGATAGGATTTGGTGCTATCATGTTAACCTTGTTATTCATCCAGAAGTAAATGATACTTAAGTAACTTAGTTGAATTTTGACCTTCAGGAATGTAAATTGCTGTAGAAACTCTATAACTGTTATTCAATAATTGTAAGAGCATCACTGATGGTTGTGGTAGGGTTTGCACCCGCAGCAGCATTGTTATCTGTAATTGTACTGGTAGCTATCATCCCTGTAAACTTAGAAAAGTTGGAACTTTTCTGGATGGTTTAGGTTTGAGGGAATCTCCTGGAACTCTGATGAATCTCTTATTGCTTATGTCGCTGAGGAGCCTTCTCCCTCCAAGCCTTCTTTTGACGATCAGGGTTACAGGAAAGGTGCTATAAAAGATAAGGAATGCTGTAGCTGGAAAGCTCAAGGAGATTGGGACGAGGAATGGGGGGAATGCTATGCAGGAAAAAGGCAGCCTGCATTATTTGTGATCAATGTTAACAGGTTTTCACATATCAGTTTCTATTTAATCAATGATATAGCATATTAGAGAGTTCTTGTGCAGTGACAGGACCCTAACTGAACTTCCGTGCATATCACAGTGGCAAGGTACAAGCTGTTAAAGGAATTGCAAAGTCTTTGAGTGTAGGCCAGGTGGTTTGGGCTCCACAAGTGGAAGGCACAGAACAATATTTGGTTTTTGTGGGTTGGTCAGCTGATCCGAGAAAGCTTGGTATAAAATACTGCTATAACAGACCCTGTGCATTATATGCTGTGAAGGCTCCACTTTATAAATCAGAAGCTGCTGAGTTTGATCTCAAGTAGTTTACTTGCTTCATTAAAAGACTTTTGGTTTCTCAAAGTTTTCTTCATTCATATATTTTCACATTGGAACTTGACTGTGCTACCTTTAATCATGATGCATAATCTTCTGGGGACAGATCAATGGAAGAATCGACAGTAGTCAACTTAACACAAAGCATTAGTAGTGCATTCTTTCCACGATTCAGGTATGCTATTCAACTTGTGCCTGAGGTGTATGGTCTCTCTTATTCCTCATTCTGAATTTAGCATCTTTTTAAATTTTGTACATTATAGCACAAGCAGAGTGCTCTTTTAAAGTCGTGGAATAATTTTCATAAAAGATTTATGTCTATGCTTAGCTGACACTGTGTAGTGGGGAAAGATTTATTTTGTTGTTGTTGTTGTATCTATGATTACTCTACTCTTTAGCATACTTGGAAACCTTCCTTTCCGTACTCTGTTTTCGTTCATCCAACTATGTCATATCTATGTTGCATTGATTAAGTTCAAATCAACTTTTTTGTAAAATATGAGTTTGTTAAATTCTTCATTGCCATCAAACTTTTAACTTATCTTCTCCTAATTGCTTGGATAGCTGTGGATCAGTACATAATTTTTGTTCCCTTGTTTTACTGGTCAATTTAGGAATGAAGAGTACTCTGTCCATCTCTTTCTCTTCTGGGTTCCATCTTTTTTTGCTATGGTGCAAATCAGACTCTGTTATATGCGGAATACTCAATTCTTGGTTTAATGTTTTTATCTGTTACTTCTCTGCAGCATATACTGTTTAAGTTGTTGATTGGAAGTCCTTGAATGGCTGTCCAAAATTGCCTACTTGGCCATGAAATTCTTCCATCAACTACTGAAATATCAATGTTTCCATTATATCCATTTAATACTGATTAATTAACTAGAACCTTTGTGTATGCAGCTGCATAAATCATTAAAAGTCCTTTTTTTGCATACAAGCTACCTCTTTGGAGCTTGCTGATTTGAATTATGTTTCTTTTCCCTCAGCCCAGATGGAAAGTTCCTCATGTTTCTGTCTGCAAAAGCCTCAGTGGATTCTGGGGCACACTCTGCAACTGATTCTCTTAAACGAATTGATTGGCCAACTGGTGGCAAGCTATGGTCATCTACAGAAATCATTGATGTGGTAAGCTCTCCATTTGTTCTCTGCTTAAGTTGAATGTGATCAGCAGCACTAATTGAGAATTTTTCATCTTAAGAAAAGAGTAAAAAGTAAAAATAAAATTAAAACAACAACGCATGCAAAACCCCCAATACCCAGCCTCATGCTTTTCAGTGGGTGCTCCTTCTTTCCTCTTTGTTTTCTGTTTGGCTGGACTTGGTTTTGCCATATTCTACTGTTTTAGAATATAACAAAACTAAATTGGGTCATTATTGTGATTTTTTTTATCAATGGAAATACTTACATGCTTGCAATCATATATTATATTTATTCTCTACTATCTTAAAATCACGTCTGACTGTTTATTCTGTTCTCATTCTATCAAATCTTTTGCAGATTCCAATTGTGAACTGTGCTGAGGATGGTCACTTACCAGGGCTTTACTGTTCAAATTTTCTTACTAAGCCATGGCTTTCTGATGGATGCACTGTGATTTTATCTTCCTACTGGCACAGCTGTCAAGTGATACTTTCTGTAAATTTGATAAGGTGACTAGTGGTGATATGTCTTTTATCATGTACATAGAATTTCATATTCTTGCTTCATTACCTGATGATGTTATTATCATATTACAGTGGCAAAGTATTACGTATCAGCCCTGCTGACTCAGATTTCTCATGGAATGTTCTTACACTAGATGGGGACAATATAATTGCTGGTAAAATGTTTTTTTTTTTCTTAATCAATGATCTCTCCCTCCTTTTTTTTTTTTTAAAAAAAGAGAAATAAACTTTGTAGTTGTTTTTTTCGTCATCTTAAAGTGTGTAGCAGTCCTATAGATGTTCCTCAAATCAAGTACGGCTGTCTTGTTGACAAAGCAACCAATAGCACTGGATGGTGTTGGTCAAATGTGTCGAGCCCCATTTTCAGATGTTCTGAGAAGGTTTATTTTGCTTGCTTTTGTTCATCTGATCTGCATTTCTTCCAGAGTTGTTATTTAAATGTTTACATATGATGCTACAGGTTATGTCTCTGCTTTCATCTCATCAGTTTAGCATTCTGCAAATTCCAGTCAAGGATGTTTCTGATTGCTTAACAAAAGGTAGCATAAACTAGTTTGGTTCAATGCCATTGATTTTTATATATCTCAACATGCTCCAATAAGTACAGCTAAGAGTAAAAGTGTTCCTTTGTTTAAATTATTTTTAAAAAAAAATAGTTTATCCTAGTGACAGTCAAAAAGGTGCTTGCGCTGATGATGGCAACTGCTGGAAAAACTTAAATGAAAACTTGAAAGCTGCTCCGAAAACCTCCCTCAACCACATTGAAATCCATAAAGAAAGAGACAAAAGCATGATTTTATGTTTGCAACATTTACACTCTGATTTTAGTTGATTAATGTACTTGTATTACTATACAGAGTAGGATGTTTTGTAAGAAAAGTGCACAAGATAAGACACCATATATTTGTGATTGATTCCTAGGCTAAACTAAATGTTTCTTTGCTATGATGTTTCATCGCCCTCTGATTAGTATTGGATCTGATGCAACTGTGGAGATTGATCTCTTTTCAGATAAAAGAATACTGCTTAGCTCTTTCTTCATTTCTAGAAACCTTAATCATAGTACTTCCAAATACCAATGTGCCAAAAAGAAAAGATTTTGATGATGTTATTTGTCCAATTGATTCAGGAGCTGCTAAACCTTTTGAGGCAATATTTGTATCTTCCAAGAAAAATGATGAAACTGATCCACTAATAGTGTTGCTTCATGGGGGCCCACATTCTGTCTCCTTGTCAAGCTTCTCAAAGTCATTAGCATTTCTCTTTTCTATTGGTTACAGCTTATTAATTGTAAATTATAGGTGAGTGAAAATATATCATAACTTCTTCAGAAAAGGTTTAACTGAGATCGGAATTCCATTTGTTATCTTTGAGTATTTGATTAAAGCTAACTCTCATCTTTTCTTGCCAGTTCATTTTCACTATGCTTGCTTAAATTTTCCTTCTATAATATGCTTTGATATCATATTTGGTACATTATTAAGGTGAGAGTGCTGTGCTGATATCTTTTAGTACAACACATCATGAAATTGCTGGCACTAAATAGCTCTGCAGATCCTCTGTGATCTCTGCTTTCACATACTTAAGAATTTTAGAAATCAGCTTTTATGATTTTATCAACATCAAATGGCTGGCATAACCTTTATCTTCACCTAATGTGCTAATTTATATCAGAGGTTCACTGGGATTTGGTGAGGAAGCATTGCAATCACTTCCTGGGAAAATTGGGTCTCAGGTGCTTATTCTTGATCAGTTCTATGACATATTCAGGCGATTAACTTATCTTGGTTGAGAGTAATTAAAGTGTTATGTGAATTTCAAACCCTCACTCCTTGACTCATGTGCAGGATGTCAATGATGTGCTTACAGCCATAGATTATGTCATTGAGAAAGGACTTGCCAACCCATCTAAAATAACTGTTCTTGGTGGTTCTCATGGTGGCTTTCTGACCACTCACTTGATTGGCCAGGTAGAGCTCTCTCTTAAAGTAACGTAAAGGTGTTCTAGTGACCAACAAATGTCCTTTAGCAGGGAACTTTTATGTTTTTGCTATTACATATATGTCTCCACAATTGGGAAGTGGCTTAAGAATTGGACCAATTACTTACTTTCTGCAGGCACCAGATAAGTTTGTTGCAGTCGCTGTGAGGAATCCAGTTTGTAATCTTTCATCAATGGTTGGTATAACAGATATCCCTGATTGGTGTTATGTTGAATCCTATGGAAGCAATGGAAAAAGTATCTACACCGAAGCACCTTCAGCTGAGCACCTGACTCACCTTTACAACAAGTCGCCTATATCACATATCTCAAAGGTACATTAAATAAAGGCTAGTTTTCTTCTATGATGCCTATGGCAGTGGTGCCTATCAAACTAAGTAGCATGGCATGCTTTGCCTTTGGTTCAAGCTTATCATCATTTGAAGCAAAATTAGATATTGTAAATGTTTACAGAATCAACAAATTCGCTGTGTATATTGGTAGGAACATGAAGGAGTGAGGGTTATTTAGGCTGTAGTAGCGTATGCATGGTATTCTAGCATTTGCATTGATTTCTCTTCGAAAAGGTATAATTTGAACTAAGTGCATCAAGTAAGCACCATAATGTGATGGTATAAAGTCATTTTCTTCTTGTCTTTGCAGGTTAAAGCTCCAACCCTCTTTCTTTTAGGTGCTCAGGATCTTCGTGTCCCAGTTTCCAATGGATTGCAAGTAAGATTACCATTCCTTTCTTTAGCATGAACTATGATGAATATTTAATTTTATTTTTTAATGTGGATACTGGATATCCATGCTGCTGTAGGAGCTTGAGTTATCAGTTATCACACCTAATAGTAAAGGGGGATAAAGTTGAAGTTTTCTGGAATATGATTCTCTCATCCGCATGCACACATTCTTTTTCTGATTTAAAAGTTGGTGTGATGTGCCCACATATGATATTGACCTATGTAACTTGCAGTATGCACGGGCATTAAAAGAGAGAGGAGTTGAGACCAAAGTTATCGTGTTTCCCAGTGACATTCATGCAATTGAGAGGTAATCACATGCCCTAAAGAAACTTACGATTTTGCTAAATTTAATCACAAGGAAAATCTAAAGGTGATATCATACTGTTGACATCTGATACATACTCTTTCTCTGCAGACCACAATCTGACTTCGAAAGCTCTCTTAATATTGGTGTGTGGTTCAAGAAGTATTGCAAATGAACAAGTTTATGTGTTGTGTCACAGCTGTTGTATGGTCTGAATCTTAAGTCCTTGATCTTTAGTCCATAGTTACTTGGGGATCATGCCCTTTGGTAATCAAGAAATTAATCATCACAATCTTATTTAAGATGGCTAGTCCGTACAAGACATTCAATAATGTAATGATTCTTGTTTTTAGGTGTGCCCTCATTTTCAGCATACAGAAACACCTGTGGAATTTTCGTATAATATAATCATGTTCACTTCTTTTTGTGGATTCCTTCTAAGGCTTTATATTCTGTTTGTTATTGTTTTCTGTAAGATGAATAGAATACTTGCCATGACCTCGGCCGGTGTGAAGCGGGGCCGACTGAAATCTACCATATCCACTAGAGAAGCTCACTTAGACCGGACTGTAACAAACTTCTAAATAAGGCATAAAAAGGAATCGTTTTGCATTGAATGTTAAAGACATTCTTATGCTTTGACTATATGAAGTTTAATAGAATCTTTTACCTAATCACCTCTGGAAAAAAGAGTGTTGGATGCATTAGTAATTCAGTAGCCTGACAGGGCACCTGTTAAAAATGAAATCTTACTAAAATTGTTGCTAATAAAGCTTTTGATATTAATTTTAATTTAAAATTTTACCCCATTAGAAGTTAAAGGGCACACATCCATTAATACGAGGAACTTTTTTAAGTTCAAGCAACATGGTAAGTGGAAATCTGGATAGAAATCTTGGGTCTGGAACTTTATTATTAGTTCTCTGTTCTGCCATATAAGGGAAGACGTCTGAGTTCTGAAATTTTCTATCACTTGGTTATAAGTTACAGGGCATTTTTTCTTTGAGGATAAAAAGGGGAAAAGACAGAAAGAAAAGAAAAAGTTCTGAGTTCTGTCTGTCCAAAGTCCACCGTGTAGATAGTTCATAAGCAGTAAGTAATTGCCAAAGATATGCATATGCTGCACCAATTTGGATATCTTCCGACACCAAAACCTTGAACTGAAAAACCCTTTAGCATCAAAACCCGTTACCCAGAAAAACTTGTTACCACTATAATTCTCAGTTCTTACATCACTTCAATTTTTACAAAAAACCTTTTTTGTCTGAGCAAAAATAGCAATGTTTGCAAAACTCCAGCTAGACACCAGTTGCTTCAACATTTTGTGCTTCACAAAAACTTCAGCACCCAACATTTCAGGAGTTTCAGTTTCAGTTTCTCCACTGGAAAAACTCGAACCCATCAACAGAAACAAGCAACACGGACTTCTCGAGACTCCCAATGGTGGAGGAACCAAGGAATTCAATGGAGTTCGAAAACAAACTCTCGATAATCAACCTGAGCCAAGTGATCAGACTTTGGAGAAAACCCAAGATAGAGAAAGGAGAGAAAAAACGAGGCAGAATTTCAAATTTGTAAATAAAGGAGGTAAATTTGGTGGATTTGATGGGACAATTTTGGTGGAGAAAATGCAGGCCAAATGTTCGACGAAATGGGTTTCCTATGGAGGTTGTATTCCAGGGATTTTGGGAGCTTTGGATAACGTTAAGGATTTGGATGAGGCATTAAAGCCATGGGCTGAAAAGTTAAGTAACAAAGAAAGGAGTATAATTTTAAAGGAGCAATCAAGCTGGGAACGGGCTTTAGAGATTTTTGAGTGGTTTAAGAGAAAACAGTGTTACGAGTTGAATGTAATTCATTACAATATTATGTTTAGAATTCTTGGGAAAGCTCATAAATGGGGTTATGTTGAAAGGTTATGGAACGAGATGACTTTGAGAAGGATCAAACCTATTAATTCTACTTATGGTACTTTGATTGATGTTTATAATAAAGGGGGTATGAAGCAACAGGCTCTTTGTTGGCTTGGAAAGATGAATAAGCAAGGGATGGAGCCTGATGAGGTGACTATGGGAATCGTTGTGCATTTGTATAAGAAAGCGGGTGAGTTTCAGAGTGCAGAGGAGTTTTTCAAGAAGTGGTCATTGAATGGATCTTTGAAGCATGATGGAAGTGAAACATTCAGTGCAGTGGGAAGTGATTTACATTTAAGCTCATATACATATAACACTTTGATAGATACATATGGAAAGGCGGGGCAGCTTCGGGAGGCTTCTGAAACATTTGAAATGATGCTTAGAGAAGGGATTGTTCCAACTACTGTTACTTTTAATACAATGATTCACATTTGTGGTAACCATGGAAAGTTAGAAGAAGTGGCTTCACTTATGAAGAAGATGGAGGAGGTTCAGTGCCTACCTGACACAAGAACATATAATATTCTCATCTCCCTCCATGCTAAGCATGATGATATAAAGATGGCAGCAGGCTATTTTGCAAAGATGAAGGAGGCCTGCCTTGAACCAGATCTTGTGAGTTATCGCACCCTCTTGTATGCATACTCAATAAGGCAAATGGTCAGTGAAGCTGAAGACCTCATAAATGAGATGGATGAACAACTTCTCGAAATTGATGAATATACGCAATCTGCTCTGACCAGAATGTACATAGAAGCTGGGATGCTTGAGAAGTCGTGGTTATGGTTCAGGAGGTTTCACCTTGCAGGGAATATAAGTTCAGAGGGCTACTCTGCAAACATTGATGCATTTGGGGAGCGGGGATATGTTTTTGAAGCTGAAAAAGTTTTTGTCTGTTGCCAAGAAAGGAAGAAGCTTACGGTCCTTGAGTTTAATGTAATGATAAAAGCTTATGGGATAGGGAAGAGTTATGAAAAAGCATGTTGGTTATTTGATAGCATGCAGGGTCATGGTGTAGTTCCAGATAAATGCAGTTATAATTCTCTCATACAGATTTTGGCTAGTGCAGACTTACCACATGTGGCAAAATGCTACCTGAAGAAGATGCAGGAAGCAGGATTTATAAGTGATTGCATCCCTTATTGTGCTGTGATCTCAAGCTTTGTAAAATTAGGAGAACTGGAAATGGCTGAAGGGCTGTATGGTGAGATGATTCAGCACAAGGTGGAGCCTGATGTTGTTGTCTATGGTGTACTGATAAATGCTTTTGCTGATCTTGGAAGTGTTAAAGAAGCTACCAGTTATGTTAATGCAATGAAAAGTGCTGGATTGCCTGGAAATGCTGTTATATACAACTCATTGATTAAGCTTTATACAAAAGTTGGTTACTTGAAGGAAGCACAAGAGGTTTACGAACTACTTCAGTTGTCAGGATTCCACCCCGATGTGTATTCTTCAAATTGTATGATTGACCTCTACAGCAAGCGCTCAATGGTTAGTCAAGCAGAAGCAATTTTCAAGAACTTAAAGCAAAAGGGAGATGCAAATGAATTTACATATGCCATGATGCTGTGTATGTATAAAAGAAATGGGAGGTTTGAGGAAGCCACTCATATAGCAAAACAGATGAGAGACCTGGGACTTCTAACTGATTTGTTGAGTTATAATAATGTGCTTGGGCTGTATGCCATGGATGGGAGATTCAGGGAGGCAGTTAGAACTTTTAAGGAAATGATGAGTGCTTGCATTCAACCTGATGATAGTACATTCAAATCACTTGGATTTGTTCTTGTGAAATGTGGAGTTCCAAAGCGGGCTGTTAACAGGCTACAAGTAGCAAGGAAGAAGGATGCTCAGAGTGGCTTGCTAGCATGGATGTCCACCTTTTCCTCAGTAGTTGGATTGGATGAAGACGATGATGACAATGATGCTGACAATGATGCTTAGGCTTTCTCTTGCAACCCACTTTTTGGGTTTGAGTTCATTGTCGGAACATTGAAGCCTAGAGATGAACTGATAGACAAAACTTTAATCAAAAGCCTCACAAATGTATAGCTGGGAGGCACTGTTAAATTTAATGTCCATGACAGTGTGTTTAGCTTTTGTATTTTGTATATTTAGTAGAGGAAAAGTTCTAGAACTTAGGCTGATGCTGGAAGAGCAAATAGTGTTCCTTTATATACAGCACCTTGTTTTCTGCTGGAATTTTAATTGAGCATTATGTAAATTAAGTTGTGTTATTAGTAGGAATGAAAGAATTAAAAAGTCCTCTAGTTTGGCTGATCTATTGGTTGTTTGCAAACACATCTCATCCATATGCGTGGAATTTGTTAACTTCTCAATGTTTCACGAGTTCCATAGGCAGCTCTTTGGTTCAAACAGGTTTGTAAATTGATTTACAGAGGTTTCAATGACATGAAAATTTCAACTTGAAATTGTTCTATGTTGCTGTTTGACATGCAGCACCTTAGCACATTTCTCGGTGCTGTAGCATCCACATCTGCGCATGACTTTCCAGGAATAACAAGGAGCATGTTCTTTTTCTTACATGAACAACTAGATGATATGTTTTGTCCCTGGACTGTAATTTGACCCATCTGATCTCTCCTTTGTCTCTTATTACCCTAGATCTATGCACTGAATCACAACTGTAAGCAGAGATCTCACAAACTCTGCACTCAGAAGAACAGGATCTAGCTTTAAAAACTCTCATAGCTTATTTTATTCTTGTGTCATTGTATGGCATCGATTTTTTCCTGCGTGTGAACGATATTGGCAATCAACATCACTTTTTCATCAAATTTTGTTATTTCAACTTTTTCCTGTTTTTGGAAATGATATCAATCTTAGAAACACAGGCTCCCCTCCACAACAGTCAATTCTACATAAAATTCTGAGAATATATGAAAATGGCCAAGAAATTAACGAAAAGAAACTTTTATCCAGCTGCTAAAATCAACCTCTAATATCACTAATAATTTTCATTATTTACATCAATTCAGATCAGAGAAACCCCAATAACACTTAACGATAAACCAAAAATGAAAAAGAAGGAAAAAATTTCCATCTACATTAGTATTACAAACAAAACCATCAACCTACAACATCATTGTCCCAAGAAACAAAAATGTCTCCAAGACCGGCTTCCAAATCTACCCACTGCCCTTCCTCAAACTCCAGCCACCCTTCTACCACCTTCGCCTCCACCAGAACAAACGACTCTGCAATCTCCACCATCTCCACCACCAACACCACCCTTCCTTTCCCCAACCCCACAACCCCTCTTTTCCCTCTCTCTACCCTATACCCCAATCTCTCCCCTACCTCCCTGACCCTCTCCACTACCCCATCCAGCGACTCAATCGAAGTTGTGTACCTCTTTTCCTTCCTCTTATTATTCCCTCCTTCAAAAAGCCCTGACAAATCCAACCCTGAAGACAGAGATATTATATCAAAAGCATTAACTCCATTAGAAACCATGTCATGTTTTAACTTCCTGTCGTGTAACAAACTTTCTTGTTGGTTGTTCGATGACGTAAATGCCGTTAAAGTTTTCTTAAACCATGAAGTTTCCATTAACTTTTCTATGCCCATTCTCGAGTCAGGATTCGGGTCTAAAAGCTGCCATATTATAGCTTTTGCTTGCTTTGATATCCAGGATGGGAACTGATACTCCCTGCGATGAATCTTTTTATACATAGCCACCAAGTTACTATCATCGAAGGGTAAATAACCCGCCAGCAAAACATATAAAATGACCCCACAAGACCAAGCATCCGCCTTGGGACCATCGTATCCTTTCCTCCGAACCACCTCCGGAGCTGTATACGCCGGCGTTCCACAAGCTGTATGTAGAAGCCCGTTGTTTAGCTGTTCAGGGAGAGCTGAGAGACCAAAGTCTGAAACTTTGAGGTTACCATTTTGGTCTAGTAAAAGGTTTTGTGGCTTTACATCACGGTGGGCGACACCGTTTTCGTGGCAGAAATGGAGGGCGGAGACCAGTTGGGAAAAGTACCTACGTGCGGCTGGTTCAGCTAAGCGGCCACGGCGTAACACTTTGGCGAAAAGTTCACCTCCTGAGGCTAGTTCCATGACGAGGTAGATCTTGGTCTTTGAAGCCATGACTTCGTGGATTTTAAGAATGTTGGGGTGTTGTTGGAGACGGCACATAGCTGCAACTTCCCGGATAATTCTTGGTTCCATGGCAGCGTCAACTGTTTTCGTCTTGTCTATAATCTTAATCGCCACAACGTTGTTGCTGTCCTCGAGTGATGTTGCCTCGTGAACTTTTGCAAAGCTTCCACGGCCCAACAAGCGACCCAATTGGTACTTACCTAAGAGTATGGTGGTGGGTGTTTTTGTACGGATGAGCGTTAATGGTGGTGCTTGTTGTGGCGGCGGCGGAGACTGTGCTGGTGGTGGGGGCGGCGGTGGAGCCCCAGATGGCATGGTTTACAGTGATGGAAAATGGTGGGTGGGTGGTGGGGAAATGAGAGGCTGAAGCAAAAATAGAGACTGCCACAACAAAGTATGCTTGGGAAGGTGAGTTTGGTTATATAGTGGGGGAAAGAGAGTTTGGTTTGGTTGGCTTCCCACTGTCAAAGACTCAGGTCAGGCTGGGCCTTTCCCCTTTTTTTAGATTTCCTTAACTGCCCTTTAGGCTTTGCGTATTTGTTGCTTCTTAATTTGGACTTCAATTTTTTCATTTATTTTAGGTGGTTTTTTTTGTGAATAATTATTAGGTAGCAAATTCCTTTTAACTTGGTTTTCCCTTAATAAATCTCCAACGGTTGTATGGAATACGTTTCTTCTTTTACTTTTTTTGGAAAATTCTTAATATCTTATTTAGGTACATAATCCTACCTGAATTCATTGTTTGGATGATTTATTTTTATGAAATAATTACTTGTTATAGCTATATTTAATTATTTTAATAATCTCACATTCATCTTAGAATATATTAATATAGCATATATTTATCTAAATAAATACTAAAATTCTAAATATACCGTCGGCAAGGTGAGGCAACCTAAACATGTTCTTGCCCCTGTGGATGTGACTTTTCCCTAACGTGGTTAACAACAATGCATGCCTTCAAAAATATCTTTCAATGATCGAATTTCAGAATTATATTGAGGTTTATATTTTATACACCGAGAGAGGATTATTTCTTGTTATAGAATGCGATAGGTAATAGCCAAGTTAATTAATTTATATATGTAAAAGATTTTATTCCGGCTGTGGTGGGATGATTCTGTCTATTTGCTTAAGCTTGCTTTTGTTCTGTGATGAGGAACTTTGTGTGATTGCCTTCAGCTATTGTTTGATCTCATTATAATTGGATTGATTTCGTTTTATTTTTATATATACAAATTAAATAAATGAAATTTTATGTCTTTTCTTATGCAGACTTACACCACTACCATTTTACAAAATAAATTTTATAAATCTTTTTTTAATGAAAGTTTCATATGTATATTTTAAATATATATATATATATGTATATACATGTAAAAGAAAATTTTAAAGACGTAAGAAATTTCTTTAATTAAATGATATACAAACATTACGTGTTAAATCCAATTAGATGCATGCTTAATTAAATTGAATTAAATCAATTTCGAGTTATAATTATGAGAGGAGATATTTTGATAAAGGGATGTGGGTTATTTTGGGACGTACAATACCAAGACAAAAAGATTGATGAGATGGAATAAAAATTATTGATCATACACTTTCTAATCTCACGGCCTAAACCATCTCTAATTTGCTCTCAAAGTGGCGTCAAAGATGAAACAAAGCAATATGGAAAAGCCAATTGATATTACAACAGACTGCTAATGAAAAGTACTTCCACTAACAATTAAGACCATGATGCCAAAGTCACACCATAGAAATTAATATTAAAGAATACCCCCTACGCTTTAGAAAATGAAATGGGAACGAATCACCATTAGCCCACCTTCAAACTTTTAGCATTTCCTTTATTATTATTTTTGGCTCTAATCTCTTCCCAAGGAGGCTTTTCTATGGAAAACGGGGTGACAAACTGGCATATGCGAAGCATCTGTTTACCTTAATCAAATTGGTGTATTAACTGGCCATCACTAATCCCTTCTGTTTTTTTCTCTTTGACAAGATATTTTCTAAGGTCCATTTTCTTTTGCAAGTTGGGACTACTGCTAGTCAAAATTCATCAGCTCCTGTTGAAAATATCATTATATATCACCCATTTTTTGCAGTTTCCTTGTAACATCGTATCTTCTTTCTTAGAATCATCGCCTCACGGGATGCAGACTGTGAACAGCTAGCAGCTTAACAGCTTGCCCTTGCATGCTTCTGCATGATCATCCAGAACAAAGTAACGAGTGACATTTCACGTTCCATATAAAACTCCCTCGAATCTTTTAATTTATGTATAGATGATCTAATATGATTGGAATAATCATCATTTAACAAAAAATGTGTGATGGGTTTTTGGTAAACTTGGGTAGCAATGTGGAGCATGCATAACGGCGTTGACGGCTCTGAAGATGGCGTGTGGTTGGATGGGCGCGTTGCATAAGATTGTCATGTTGCTGGAGGTTGGCGCATTGCTATTGGGTTGAGTTGGACGGCTGTGGAAGCGCCATAGAGGCATGCTGATGACCTATTGAGGCTGCTTAGGACCCACGGTATCAGTCAGAAAACCAGAGGCAGCAGCAGCAACATAGGTTCGCATGATGGCTTGCGCCAGCAGCTTACACCAAAACAATAATTTCTTCTACTTGTAAATTATGGGGTGATAGCTCCATTCCCTCACTCTCCAGGTCAACATGTCAACAGTTCAAAAGAGTGTTTTTCTTCCAATAAATGATTTTCTTTTTCTTTTTACAAATAAATGTCTAATGATCAATGTCGTAGTCGTTTTTCCCTCCAGAAGAAGAACATTTCAAGGGTTGAGGGTTCTCTAAGTTGAAGTTCGAATTGGGAGAGAGATGTCACCCAGATGGTTCCTTCAATATATTAATCATGAAAGCCAACTTGTACGTGGACAAATTATAAATATGTTATCATGTCAATATATTATTTTTGAATTGCAAATTTAGTATTGAAACAATGTTGTTGGTTTTTTCTTAATTGAAAATTAAAATTCATTTTCCTTTTTCTTAAATTTCTTCTCATATAAGTATACATATATACATATAAAATAATTATTTGATCTTTCTTTATTCTCTCTATTATTTATTTCTTAACATGCAAAAATAACCTTTAAATATTATCAAGTTTGAAAGGAGTTCTACATAACGATCTATTACTTTTTTTCTTACAAAAATTTTTTAAATAGAAAAAAAAAATCATGGACAGGGCATCTTAAGTTAGATAGGGAGGAAGCTTCACAAATTCTTAATGCTATTATAATAGGTGTGCCAATTAGATATTTCTTATTCATTTCTTCTCAGAATTAATAAATAAAAAATAAAAGAAAATCACTTTAGTTGGGTGCAAAATGATAGAAAAGCCAATCCCTTCTTTCCAGGCTAAAGCACACAAATATTTTCTGTACAATCACGCATTCTTGCTTCACTTTTTTAGCATTTTTCTCCATATCCCATGTTCCCTTTTCATTCCTTTTCTTCCCTTTATCAATACTATAAGAAAAGCTAAATCAAGAGCCGATCTGAATAGAAACAATTTTGCTATTTGGCTTTCACTGTTGATATAGGGGATGAGCGGCCAACTTTTTCATATAAGAACTTACAATATGCTGCTATTATTAATGGCAAATATATATGCAGAAATCGTGCTTCGTCACTTTCCATTTTATTAAACAATAGGGAAAATGATGTCTCATTTTGATGATGATGATAATAATAATAATAAATATATCTTTTTTAATTTAACAAAGGCAAAGATCAAATACTTGGGTACTGCAATCTTAATTCGATGTTAGATTTTCGGATGGTTGTTCTTCATGTTTGATTAAGAAAGATGGGATGGCTTTGTCTTCGAGACAATAATGAATTTCATTAGAGGGCCCGATTCGCCACTTGCTTAGAGAGGGATGGTATTCCCAGGTGATGGTATTCCCAGGGTCAAGTCCTTTATTCGTTTGAGGGTGATGCTGCCATTAATTTCTTCATTAATATTGTTTCCATGGTGATTAGTCACATTAGGCTTTTATGTTAATTAAGTGGGAAGAAGTTAATTTCACAATTATTCCTGTTATAGCTAAATGTTAGGGTACAAAAAAGGCAATCCCTTCTTTTCTGGCCAAAGCTTCGAGATATTTTCTTTCTGTTTTATGAACAAGATAAACTCTATCCTTTGCTCAATTATTTGTATTTGTGTCTACATCCATGCACCTCTGTTCCCATCGTTTCCATTTTCTTTCTTTCTTTCTTATTGTTAAACAAATCAATGGTACTAGAACAAAGATTGTTGTGTGCTTTCTTATCAAGAAATATGGTTGTGGATTTCATTGGTTTACGATTATAAACTCGACATAAACCTTGGGTTAGAATATAAAGGTGTTTTGATCTAGGTTATGGTTATGTATCCATCTGGAGAAGAAATTATTAAGTAGACCATTTAAAAAATTTTATTAGATAGTTTCAGAGATATTATAGTAATTAATTCGATGGTTTTAATGATAGAACCATTGTAACCAATCTTAGTCATACTCTTTACATTTAAATCATACTATAACTAACTTTAATTATATATATTCTCATCACAGCCAAATTTCTTCGTGAAATTAGTGCTAGTATGTAAATAACGTATGCCTCTTTTTATTTTCCTCATCTTATATGCATTCAAATAACATGCAATTAGATTTGGCTTAAGGGTTGTTACTGTCTTTTATTATAAGAAAAAAAATCAAATCTCCGTATAAGAAAGACTTATAACTAGGAATTTTCATCTCAGCTACTTGCTTGCTTCACTGGTTTTGTGACTCGGACAAGTTAATCCAAATTAACCCTCTTATTACCAACCTCTCTTAGTCATAAAATATCTAATCTCCACCGTCGATTGCAAAAGCTAGTTGTCGACACCAACAAAGATCAGTAGGAGCTCCATCTTTTTCACTAATAAATGAAGACTCTCAGTATTTACTGTAGTTATTGTAGCAATCTCCATAAACATATCCCTGTCACTTTCGTTTAGAAACAAGGAAAAAGATGTCTTAGATTGATTATAAATAATTCTTTAAGAAGGCAAGATCAAATACTTGGTCACTGTAACCTTAATTTGACGTAAAACTGTTGGCTTTTGTCATTGATGGTGAGGGATGGATACTTTGATCTTAAATATAAATGTGTGTGTATATATATATATATATATATATATATATATATCGTGAATTTTGTGGAGGGGTCGGACTGGTCACTTGCTTTAGGAATTTGATTATTGATGTCAAATGTCTTTAGGCCTTCATTTACTTATTGCTAATATGTTTATCTAACATTGGTTAAGTAAGAGGGGGAAACGATAAAGATAGAAAGAGGACAAAACCCATTTTGCTGTTGTAAATTGTAAAATTAAAACTTAATTTCGGCCTTTTTGGCACATAGTAAAAGGAAGAAAGATAACGTTGGTTTTTTTTTTAATTGAAAAAGACACAATTTGTTTTAATTAAAGAAATCAAAATTTTAGAATATTCGAATTTGATTCTAAAATCCTTTTTTAAAAAGTTTGAGTTTTTTTTTTTAATATGATATTACTTGACTTGATTGACTTACTTTTTATAAAGTACCTTTAAGATAAAAGTAACAAAATATGTATTTTAATTTCATATTCACGTGATATTATTTCCATAAACTTGATCATTTGTCATATATATATAATACTTTTCAAAAATTTTTACACCAACATCTATTATCTATATAAAATATTTCAATTTGAGGTTAATTAATTAGCACTTATCATGACTCATGAAGTAAACCCAAGGTTTAAGAATAGGTGACAAGAGTTATGAGCAAGCCCATTTGATGCTTTCCTTGCTAGTGGCCAATTAGGTAGCTCAATAGCATTCCATAATTGGTGTTAAACTATTGACAAATCAAGCACGACCGTTGCTGTTGGATGTATTAGTTTACTTGTCAACAGCAATTGTTCAACCCTGAAAATATCTCAAACAAACGATCCTTAGTTTATATAAAAAAAACATTAATGGGTGATTTATATTTTATTAGTAGCAATAATTTTTAATAATGATCTTAATTTAAACCATATAATCCTTGTCATCCTAATTTGTCAGGATTTGATGGCATTATCCATGTGGAGCAATGAAGGGACATAGTTAGATGACAATTAGCCCCGTTGGACCCCTACAAAGAAAGTATTAGATTTGGAAAATCATTGTCATAAACATTAGTTCATACTTCATTAATTATAAACCATTATTATGCTATTAATAAATATTTCTTTTTATAAGTTTAACCTTGAAGAAAAGCACAGGGTAAACATTGTAGCTAGAAAGAAATATTTGATGCTATCGAGAAGGAAAATGCCCCTTCAATCTCGAACGTTCATAGAATAATAAATAACTCGAATCTCTCTAGAACTTTTTATTGATATAAAAGAGAATTCATATAGAATTACAATGGAACAAAATCAACAGAGAAGAAGAAATGGTATTGTTAAGATAATTATACAAATTATATAATTAAAGTTAGAGTTATTACTAATTATGAGAGATTAGGGTAGAATCTATTTCAAACTCCACCTTTTTATGACTATGCTCGAGTGCCAACTTCACTCCCTTGACAGGATAGACTTCAGCAATAAGAACAGATCTGTGTCTTAACTTTGGAACAGAACCTTGATGCCATGGTTTCTCTTACAACTACTGCATACCAGCTTCCTTTGTTCTAGCAAATGCGTTGGAATAATTACTTTAAGTAAAGTGAATCATCATTTTTAGGTTGGCTATGCCCTGGTTGACTGTTTTCCATTTTTGTTCTCGTTTTTTCTTAGGGTATTGAGTGCCTAATTAACTAAGTAATTAACCTTTGTTAGGAACCTCTATAGGGAGTATTAATTAATAGTAGATAAATCAATGTATGAAGATGTTACAAGTAATTTATTTTTTCTTTAAAGAATTCATACATATCTTTATGAGTATTTCACAATATTAACAAAATAATGAAACAAATGATAACAAAGACTAATCTGAGATTGATACATTATTAAAATTTAACATTATGAATCAAGGTATAAAATTTCACTTAATCTTAGTGGAACGCACGTTATTTTTTTTAAGATTTGATTCAATCTTATATACATGTAAATTCATATTTATTTTTTACTTACAATAAACTCACAATGAGTTTGCTTATATAAAGATATTGATTGAAACCTTACGAGATCCTATCTGTACAGCACACAACACTTGGGCTAAAATTAAATGAGAATAGGAAGAGAATGAGGATATTGAGGTGGCTAGAAAATCTTGAACCCAAAGCTAAACTCACGCTGAAGTACATTCAATTCAATGAATGGTCTCTTGCTTTGTACGAAAGGACGAAATAGGTTGACGGCCACTTGACGAATCTCAACTGGCTTTTGCGAGTATGGGGGACAAGCCATGGTCCCTACGGCTTCCAACACCCAACATTTGCTGTCCTATTTCTCAGTCTCAGCCATCGTGGCAATGGCTGTCCCACTCTCCTTCGCAGCTAACTTTCCCAGAAAATGTGGCTCAGATCCATTTACGGAAGATCTTGGAAACGTTAAAACCATTCCCAAAACATTGCTTTGACTTCCCCTTTTTGAATGCAATGCAACTGCTCGCTATTATTGCAGCAGTGATTATCATGTGGAAATACTAGCTGGTTTCCTCAAACAGAACTCGAACTGTAGTTTATCACCACTACTGATTCGACCCTTTAAGGTTCATTGAAGCAAGATTCAGCTGAAGGGGGTTGAAAACTTGAAAGTCAATTGTCCAAGGGGAATGGAATTTGGTATTCGACCCTTTAGGGTTCATTGAAGCAAGATTCAGGTGAAGGGAGTTGAAAACTTGCAAGTCAATTGTCCAAGGGGAATGGAATCTTGGTTTCCTTGGAATTAAATGTCGAAAACCAAGTCCAAAAAATTGCTGAACCCAAAACGGTAATTTCGGATCCGAATGGTCATCTCTCACTCTTGAAGCCCAACATTTCTGGGCAATCATTCTTGTTTTTGGGCCATGCTTTCGAGAGCTCATGAGCCCCATTAACATCTTTCTGACAGGAACCGACCCGGTATGACGTATCCAACGTTTCAGCCTCAGCTTTCAGCTTTGCCGAAGGCGGGGTTTTGCTCAAGGTTTCACTAGAAATTTTCTTCCCAATTTCCATCAAATTTTCTCAGGAAAAAAAGAAAAGAAAGAGAAAAGAAAAAGAAATGTCTTCTTTGGGCACTTCAAAGGGTATTCTTGAAATCGCCAAATTTGGTCTCTATGTTACAATCCCAATCGTTCTTATGTACACTTTCGCCAACAACACCAAGAATCTCCAGAAAGTTATGGGAAATGTAAACTCTCTTTTACCTCTTCTCTTTATTATATATAAATATTAAAATTTATTATGCTTTTTTTTTTTGTATCTGTAGTTGGAGGAATTTGTTTGATTTATTGAATCTTGTGAGGAACTGAGATATTTTGATCTGGGTTAGGCTTGAGATTGGGTTAAAGTTTGGTACTTCTTTGAGTTTCCTGAAATTTGGGTGTTTGTTTCTTGTTCAGCTTCCTAGCAACAAGGAATTTAGTATTTTTTTTACTCGTTTTGTCTGGAGGTATAGCTAAAGCTCAGATATTTATTGCTGCTGTTCAATATTAGGTGTTGTTATATGATGCAACTTTATTTGATGGGTAGTTTGGTTATTGGAGGGATCGATGGTCTCTATGTTTATTATGTTAATATTCTGGATTCTGGCAAAGGTAATGAGGAAAAAAGTAAAGTTTGCTGACCTGCTTGAGAAAGTAAATGTAAGTCTGTAGGGTTCCTCCCCTGCTCCCCTTATCATATTGAAATTGCTTGAAGTGGAATCTGAATTTAAATGCATAGTTGGGGCTGTATAAGTTCATGGATGAAAATTCATCCATGAACTTGCATATAAGTGAAATGATCCCTGACATGTAGCTACACTCCTGTTACACATTGTGGGAAAACGGTTTGTTTGTTTGTTTGTTGTTGTTGATGAACTTGTATATAACTGAAACAATCACTCAAGTCCCATGAACTATTTAAAGTTGTTTCAGTTAATGCCTGGGAATTTATGAGAAATTTTTTATGGTGGATGAATGTAGCGTTAAAGATTAGCTGGGCAAGCCCTAAAGTATAGCTTCAAAGATTTTTGCTCTTTCCTGTGGAGTTGGAGGCTTATAATATTGTCTCTCTGCACGTGAAGGATTGGAAGCTATCTTTCGAATGTGATTGTTAGAGTTAGGTTTTCTTTTCTGGGCTAAGAAATTTGTTTGTCTCTTAGTTGTCAAGTTATAGAGATAGTATAAGAACATGAAGTGAAGATCATGTTATGCTCCATTATTGACGCCAAAATTTCCTACCATGGTACTGCTTCAAAATTTTATGTACAAGATGCCTTTCCATATTTTCTGCATACAGTCTAAGATACTAACGCAGCTTCTAGTTGACCTTAAAAATTATGCATGGATCCTCGTAATCCCTTGATGATTGGATTGATAACTTGTTAAGGTCTTCTAGAGATAGTGTGGCGTTGAATGTGGCTGCTGTTGATCAAGATAGGCTGCAGATTGGAATGTCAAGAATAGTGATTTGCTATTATAGTTTTTTTACTGGAATTTATATCTAGCTATTGATGCTTTTATAAAGGTTACTATGGTGCTTGAACTGGGGCTCTTGTGCTTGTTAAGGATTGGATGTGTTACCTTTGATCTATAACTTTTTCTTTTTTCTTTAGTAGATGATTAATTATTGGAGTCTAAATCATTTCTGTTTTGCTTTGATGTGAAGCGCTCCTATGTCGTATATCCTCCAGAGGGACCAAGACCTCCATCACCAGAGGAATTGAGGGAGATGGCACGGGAGCTAGCTAGGAAGAAAAATATTCGCTGATGCTCTTTGGGGCCATAGGTGATCTACGCAGCTTTCTTGATTGTACCTATTACTATTCCAACAAGCCAGCATGTAATATGCTGTAATAAGCATTGTGCTTTTTATATGAAAAAGGAAACGATAAGTCTGGTTTGTATGACATCATGGAGCATAAGTTTATGGCTAAATTTGTCGTTTTGCTTGTTCAGCCTGGGAATTCACGTTCTTTTATTGGTAAAAGTGTTAAAATATTTGATGGAGCACTGTCCCATTTGTTTATTCTCTTTACCAAACTTCTTGTAATTTAACCATGGAAATACCTTGTCAGATCGTTCTTACCGTGTACTTGGATGTATCGATGCCCTATTTATGCTTCGTACACTTATTTCACCCTGGTTTTGAACCTGCTGCTCAAATCAGCTTGGCACCTAGACGGCTAGACTAGCGTGAATTTGAAGGCAGCCGCGAAGTCACGTGATAGACTTTCTGACCTTGGTCATGATCATGGAAGGAAGTAGTGAACCTTATGCCCGGCCAAATGTTCATTTATTGCTATGGGGTAAGGAATTCCTGTTCCTTACATATGTTCTTAAAGAGGAATTGTTCCCTCGTGAAAATATCGATTTTGAAGAGGAGGGGAGGGTTCAAGGCATGAACGTAAAATTCTATTGATAATAACTAAAGATATTATATTGCAAGACACTTAAATCTATAGAGCGACACCATGATAATTTCCAACTTCTTCATTGTCAATGGCCTGGAAAAGGATAAGTGCCTGTTTTTCAAAGCCTTCCACATAAATATCTGTAATCCTGAGGCCCCCTAACAAGCAATTCGATCCGATTCTTGAAGTGGTTCAGGGCAGAGGCCCCCTCTCCTACACCACCACCACTACAGCCTGTCTCCTACCAATAAAACTCATTTAATTAAAAATTAAACAAGAAAAAGAAGGGAGGAAAAAAAGAAGACAAGCTTTGGCGGGCTCATGCTCAACTTTCTTTATTCTTTTAATGAAGGGCTCCACACAGCCAATGACTTTGAACATTTCTAAAAGTTTGGTAGTAATAGATAAGTATGTATTGAAAAGTAATTCAAGAAAAAATACAACAAAGGTTACTCAACTAACGTTACTCAATTGTAGAAAGAGGGAAGGAATGACAATGAGACTTGAGTTTTCCCCTCACCAAGTGAAAGAAAGAAACAAAAGTTCAGCTCAGACTAGAGACAGCAACATAGTCCAGTTAGATTTCAGCGCTCTTGACTCTCTTTTTTTTTTCCTGAGCTGAAATTTCCTGGAATAAGTAGTTAACCACCATGTTTTCCACAGCGGGTTTGTTGAAAATATTAACATGGGATGGAAACTAAACTGAATTGACAGGAAATTTCTCGTAAATAAAAAAGTGAGAAGAAAAAACAAACAAAGCTGGACTTCTTTTGTTTTTTTGAAAAGCTTGACTTGAGATCCAAGTCCTCGTCTTCCTCCGTACAACATGGAAATGGTTTTGGTTTTCATTTCAGATTTCTGAGTGAGTTATTAGGTTATGGTTCAGTCACAGATAAAAGGGCTTCTTCTCAGCTCTTTTTCTTTCGCAGGTGGTATTCAAGGAGGTTTTTTCAGAGGTAAGAGAAAACTCAACTTCCTGCTGCTTCCCTCTTGTTTTTTTTTTTCACTTTTGGTTTCTTTCTTGGTTTCTGTTGGTTTCTTTAAGCTGATGCTGATGCTGAGTGGTTTTGCTTTCATGGGTGACAATTCAAATTATGAAACTTCAGTGTCTGTGATTCTTGGGTTTGAAATCTTGTTCCTATTTGTTTCTTGCATCCCCTTTGAAGTACTGGCTTTTGTTAATTGTTTTATAGTTTTTGGATTTCTTTGGCTTATCATTCTAGTACATAATCAAGAATCTGCTGGGAATAAACTTATTTAAGCTATTCTGTTGCTTTACCCTTGGTTAAGGAAGTGGCTACCAGGACAGGGTTTTGGATTTTTAAAATTTAAATGGTGCAAGCAACGTGATAACAAAATGCTGGAAGAATCTTTATCCACAGGCTTTTCATTCTGTAAATTTGATGTTTAAGTTAAGCTGCTTTGCTCTGTGATAAATTTATCTCCCCTTTCTTCAGTAAAATCAGCATTTGATTATGTTAATTGTGTTGGCTGACACAGACTATTGTAATGCATAGGGTAAATAGGGGAGGTTGTTCAAAGGGAGAAAAAATGCATTATGAAATCCAATAATTGATCTCTAGTTGGCGAGCGATAATCGGTCTTCTTTAACATTATTAAAGAAACAGGAAAAGAATTGATTCTAATGGTGATGGAACTCATACCAATTGGGACCATCTTAGCTGTGGTAACAAACCAGGTGATTAAAACAGCTCAGGCTGCAAAGGATGTTGTAATTGAGAAGGATAGTTTCAAGGTCCTCGCAAAGCATCTCTTTGATATTGAGCCTGTTTTAAAAGAATTGCAGCTTCAACAACTAAATGATTCTCAAGCAGCAAGACTAGCTCTGGAGTCTCTGGAAGCAGATGTCAAGAAGGCAAATAACTTGGTTGAGAAATACAAAAATCGAGGCCGTTTCTACTTACTTGTCAAGTGCCGGCACATTGTTAATGAGGTGCAAGAAGTTACAAGGGATATTGGAAGGTCTTTGGCTTCTTTGTCCATTGCAAATACTGAAGTACTTTCAGGGATATCTGATCAGGTGAATAGGCTACAGAGTGAGATGCAAAGAGTGGAATTTGAGACTTCACATTCTCAACTCCAAATTGTTGACAAGTTAAACCAGGGTCTTAGGGATCAGAAATGTGACCAGGGTTTTGCAAATGACATGCTTGAAGAAATTGCAAGGGCAGTTGGGGTACCTGTTGAGCCTTCTGAAATTAGCAAGGAGCTAGCAAGCTTCAGAAGGGAAATAGAAGAAGCTGGCAATAGGAAAGAACGAGCTGAAGTTCTCTTCTTGGAGCAAGTTATTGAGCTGCTTTCTCAAGCAGATGCAGCAAGAGATTATGAAGAAATGAAGAAGCAGTATTTCCAAAGGGCACAAGTTGTAGAACGATATGATGCAAGGAAAGAAGACATTCCTCCCCTTAAATCTTTCATTTGTCGTATAAGTGGGATGGTAATGGTTGATCCTGTAAGCCTTTGCACTGGTACTACATGTGAGAGAGCTGCTATTGAAGATCGGTTTGATCGTGGGCAGAAAACTGATCCAGAAACTGGAGATGTTCTTGAAGATACTTCTTTGAGGTCTAACCTTCCACTCAGACAATCAATAGAGGAGTGGAGAGAACTGAATTATTGCCTTAAAATCAGAGCTTGTGAGGCAAAGTTGTCATCAGGTGTTGATTCATCTGTCCTGGAGGCCCTGAACCAAATGCAGGATCTTATCAGAGAAAACACTATAAACAAGGACTGGATTTCCATAGGAGGGCTTACTGATAGTATAATCTCTATCCTTGGAAGCTCACACAACAGAGAAGTCAAGAAGAAGATTTTAATCATTTTAAAAGATTTGGTGGAAGGGCATGCAAGAAATAAGGTAAGCTGCTTATGCATTGTAAATGTAAAACTAAGGAGTAGTATAATGGAATTCTAATTTCCTCCAGTTAACAACTTTCTTACTTTTCTGCTTTCCCCTATCTTTACACCCTGTGCTCTTCATGCCTTTTCTATAACTGTTTCTTTTTGTGCTTGCATTTTATGTAGCAGACCCCAAGGAGCCTGACCATCGTCTGCCATCTAAGATACATAGTTATGTACACATATGTTTGCATCCATATACATTCATGAAATGCATGCACATACATTCATGAACACCCATAGACACATTTTCATTCACGCCTACATTCACACGTGCAAAATGCCAAAAACATACTGCAAACCTGGAAGATCCCTTTGGACTTAATTAGATTTGCTTCACTCTATGTGAGGTTATCTAAAGCTAATCTACGCTGAGCAGAACTCCATGCCTTGCTTTTAGTCATTTAGATTTAGATTTTTGGTTTTTCTTTTTCAATTATAATTGAATTAAGTTGTGAACAAAGAGGTGACTTCTTTCATTATTGACTATGTTGTTTAAAAAATTTATAGGACAAAGTGATTGGGCATCAGGGGTTGGATCACATTGTTCCCTGTTTAGGACGTGACCGAAGCATCTCAATGGCTGCAGTTGAACTGCTATATGAGTTATTGCAAGATAGATCCAATTGGAATGTGTCTGTTTGCCACCAACTCTCTCAGAAATGCAGCGGAATTCTTTTTCTTGTTACTCTTCTAAAGGGTCCAGTCAGGGAGTCAGCAGAATATGCAGAAAAAATACTAAATAAGCTTTTTGATGTTGATGAGGAGAACATTTCTCGAGCTGCCCGGTCAGGGTGGTATAAACCACTCATTGATCGCATTGTTCAAGGTTAGAAAACCCTTTCATGTATGCTTTCTTAAACAGCTTGTCTTTTTTTTGTCAATATTATGATTATTTAGTCCATGGTTATCTAAATGCTGTCTTTTGCTTATAGAAAGAGCAAGGGAATGTTTCCATCAAGGCTTCAGATACATGTATGAAAGCATGAAAACTTCCCTTCAGGAAGAAATATTTGAATTGCATTAGTTATTAGGTTGCAGTCTGTGGTAATAATTCTTATATTTTCACCATATAAAAGAGATTTACATTTATGCTCAAGAACAGACCATCATCAAAAATGATGAATAAACAGGGAAAGTTCATTTTATATTGAAGCTATTTTACGAAATCTCTAGGATAGTGAGCAGGCACTTGTCAACTGCTTGGAGGGGGGATTGCTTAAATCCCAAGTCAAATACTGTGTCCTAATCCTTTCTGTCGGATGTCACTGCAAACTCCAGAGATATATCTTAATTGTAGTTGTCTGTATTGGATTGCTGAAAGTTTTGTCTGGGTCTGTTCTGTGATATTATTGTGCCTATAGATACTACATATGTCCATTTCATTAAAATGAAACTGTTCTCATAATACTTCAACCACAAAGCAGTTATATACATTGATAATTCTGAATACTTTCAGGGCCAGAGTCATCAAGGATGTCAATGATGAAAGCATTAGTTACTATGGAATTGGTTGATTCGAATTTAAAACTCCTTGGTGAGGAAGGCATTATACCTTCTTTGCTTTCAATGGTGGATTCTGGCAATCTTGAATCAAAAGAGTTGTCCTTATCAGTTTTGGTTAAACTATGTGGTTGCCGTGCTAATAAAGAGCTTATTGCTGCTGCTGGTGGAGTTCCTCTTGTTCTGAAGCTAATGTTCTCTCCCCATGTACGTGCAATTCTTATATTCAGATGCTCTGAAATTATTGAGAAACTTTCTTCTGAAGGTGATGGAATTAAATTCTTTGTTGATGAAAAAGGGGTTCAACTTGAAATGGAGCCCATCATCATTGATTTGTTGGCTTTGCAGCAGAATGTTAATTCATCCAACAATTACCGAAGGCCTGCTTTACGTGCACTTTTAGGAATTTGCAAGTCTGAAGCTGGGCTGGTTAAGACAGCTGTTCTCACTGCCAATGGTTTATCTCTAGTCCTTCCTCTTCTTGATGATCCTGACTCAGAAGTTAGAGAAATTTCTATAAATCTTCTTTTCCTATTTTCTCAGCATGAGCTACAAGGAGTAGTGGAATACCTTCTTAAACCCAAAAGGTTGGAGGCTCTAGTGGGGTTTCTTGAAAATGGAAACAATAGTGATGTCCAGATGGCTGCTGCTGGTCTATTAGCCAACCTCCCAAAATCTGAAGTACCACTAACTATGAAATTAATCGAGTTGGATGGACTTCATGCAATCATAAATCTTTTGAAATCAGGGACAATGGAAGCAAAAGAACATGCTTTAAGTGCTCTCTTCCGGTTTACAGATCCCACTAATGTTGAGTCACAGCGGATTGTGGTTCAACAAGGAGCTTACCCTTTGCTTGTAAGTTTCCTCAGAGTTGGTACAGTAACAGCAAAGGCAAGAGCGGCAGCTCTCATTGGTAATCTATCCATGAGCAGTCCTAAGCTCACTATTGTGTCCAAAAAAACTGGTTGCTGGTGTTTTAGAAAATCACGTGTTCCTTTATGCGCAGCACATGGTGGTATATGCAATGTAGAAGATTCTTTTTGTCTGTTGGAAGCAGAAGCGCTGCCGTACTTAGTAAAACTCTTACATGAAGAAGTTGAAGCAACTGCTTATGAAGCAATTCAGACGCTTTCCACATTGGTTCAGGATAGCTGTCTGCAAAAAGGAGTCAATGTCTTGCATGAGGCTGAAGCCATAAAGCCTGTGTTAGAGATTTTGAGTTGGGGAACAGATTCTCTGAAGGAAGAGGCACTGGGGCTCCTGGAGAAGGTTTTTGTGTCAAGGGAAATGGTGGAAATCTATGGATCGAAAGCTAGATATCTTCTGGTTGGTTTAACTGGCAGGAATGTTCACGATGATGGCCGTCCAGGGAGAAAGGTTGCAAAAGTTTTGTCACTTCTGGAACGTTATTCAAAATCATCAACGTCTATTATTCCAGGATTATTTTGATGAGGACATATGTTATCGAGTTAGAGAAAAGTTTAAGCCAACTTTATCGTGAGCTTTTGCTTCTTCTAACCCAGAGAATTTTTCCAATCTGGTTCACATACTTTGTGATGCAAATTGCTTTTGGCATGCTCTTTGTGAATACCATTATTTGATAATGACATGGAGCAGTCTCAGAACCTTTTACTCAACAAGTGTCAAGGGATATTAGGTCACCTTTATGTAATGCATTGTGCACCTGGTGCACTCTGTTTATAATGCAATACTTAATTGGTTGAAAATGTATGTTTTCTAAGTCAAAAATAGAGGAAGCGGAATCGTGAGGTTTATACCAACTTCATGTTCCCACCAACTAGAGAGATTAAGGAAAAGAAAATGGTAGGAAGAAGGCAGTGCCTATGTTTCTATTCGATAGTATTGCCTGTGCCTTAAGGCGAAGAACAATCTTGATTGGTAAAATTTTCTTCAGTCCCTGTCAGTATTTATAGATGCCTTTTTGTTAATCTTTGCACCTTTTTTGTCTCTTATTTTCCAAATTGTGCTTGAAGTACACAGGTGGAGTGTGAAACTTTTAAGGTCAATGAATGATGTTCCCTGATAAGAGAGTATCGGTGAAGTTTCTTGTCGATCTTTAGTTTCTGCTATGGTAAACAGGATGCCACTACATAAAAAGCACTAGATGGACATATGCTTCTTCAACCAAAAAAGGAAAACAAAAGCTCATCAACATGAACAGAAGGTTTGATTTAAGAGGTTAAATGTGATCCGGGATGTGGATCATGTATTGGAAGAATCAATAGGTTTTCTTTGATTTAATTATTTCCATCTGCACTCTCATTTCAATGTCCATAAAATCAACTCCTAGCTTAGTTAAATGCAGCCAATGACTCAAGATCACTCTGGTTTTATTTTTTTGAAGATGGAAAAGCAGTTCTGGTTTTATTTTTTGAAGATGGAGCAAACTTATCCTTCTTAGCCTAAAGTCATAGACAATTTCTTCAAATTCTAATATTCCAGAGTAACATGACAACCTTGATGCTGGCATCAGTTCTACCAAACTACAACTGTCAGCTCCTGTCAGACAGATTATGGCATGGACCTTCAAGTTATAGCTATATATTTTTTGAAACTAGTACACGTTCATCTTTCTGTACATACATTTCCATGGATACATAATCATTGTGAAATTTACAGGAACTGATTCCTAATGCTCATCGATTACACTTGACCAACATTTTGCTGAGACCCCAGCTGAAGATGGAGCTCAGATTCTTCATGAACAACAAACTTTAACCTGAGAGTCAAAGTAAGAAAAGTTTATGAAATGTTATGTTGTCCTGATAGTTTAGTGAAAAAGGCACATTATCCTTATCATTTTCTTTTTCCTGCTTTTCAGCCGGCTACACCACATGGCCTTGGTAGAAACAATACCGACAATGCGCATTTAAGGTTCCATTTAATGTTATGGAAGAAATTGTCCCAGGTCTCTTGTTTCTTGCTTGAATTGTCTATCAAACTCTCTGATACGATCATCTTGGGTGATAGAAGTGAGCAGAAGGCATTCAAATACACTGGAATTACTTGCTTTAATCCAGGTTCCTTCTCAGATGATAGCACATTTGTTGCATCTCGTCCTTGCACTCAGGAAGTTGAGTTTTCAGCCTTGTGAGTTTCAAAAGTTTCCTTTAGAATGCAGAGAATTGAACATGCGAAAAAGGAAATGCTATCTTTTTTCATTGGCCATTGACAAAATTGTTGAGGTTAAGTTACTAATGTCATAGCACTCGCTTATTAACCTGTCAAAAAAAAAAAAAAAACTCTCTGATTTATTCATTGTTCCCTACTAAACGAAAACTTTGGTTTACTAACTTCTTTTCTAGTCCATTGCCTTCATTAATGGAAACCCTTTTTCTGTTACTCTATCATGTGAGAGAATTAGATGTTCTTTTTAAAGGATAATATGGTTCAAACTCAAAATCTACAGCTCTGGCTTTTTATCACAATTATTTGATTGGAATTATACATATATTATGGTTTGAATTTAAAACATCTTTCCCCACACTCACTTAATTCGATGCAACGCGAGGTTACCATACATGTATGAAAAATGAAGCATATAATTAGCTATGAAGTCCCAATTTCCTGACTAGACAACAGAAGATTCAGGAACCCTCACGCCAACTGCCAACACTGACCCTTCATTAAACTAGGTGTCTGATGCAAATATTGCTTTGAGAAGCTCCACGTTATTCTTCCACCACAAGAAAAAAATTTTAAGCTTTCAATTACTTCATTAAAAGTAGTCCATCGGCGGTTGGCACCTACTTCAGTATGCAAACATGGATGTCTAAAGTATGATGATTTTCTAGAATTTAAATCCTATAGGTCCAATAAAAAGTATTTAAGTTTGTCTTTGAACATCTCTTGTTTTTCTTAGTTTCATGCCTGAAATATCTCTTTTATGTTTCCAACTGTCAAAGAAAAAAGGAGAACTGTACATGTAAAGGAAGGGTCCCTAATAATGAAGTTGGAATCCATGAAGAAAAAGTCAAAAGACCTACACATGCAGCCAGCATATATATGTTAACCCAAAGCATCAAATGCTACACTGATATGGACCTTGATATTTGTTAATTAAATCTTAGGAATATTCAGTCTTAAGGCTTCAAAGAAAGACAAAGATTTCTCCATCTAGCTCTCAATAATTCTTGCTATTCCAATCAAGGAAACTGCAAATGGTAGAAGAACCGTGCAATTGCAGAGAGAGCATTAGACGATTTCGTGTGAGGGTTGTTTCTTGCCGACCATTTTTCCCAAATAACGTGGCCAAATCTTCAGCTCCCCCACTCCACCACCACCACCACCACCGAAATATAATACTATTATAAAATCTTTTCTTGTAGTGAGCATAGATGTGATTCATACGCTCTAAATGTCAGTGCAAACTTGGTGGGTATTTGGTTAGAAGTTTGAGCATTAAAGACAGAAATGGCTTTGAGTTTGTCCAATAACCCCTTACCAGAAAGGACTAGAAAAAGGAAGCCTCCAAGTTTGACACGCAAATTCAACACTATATGAGATCGGAGACAGAGAGGACTGAGAAAGAGAGAGAGTTAGAGATGACTTCTTTGAGAGTCAAAACGAAGCTAACTATATTAAATTGTTTCATACGTACCATAGCTGTAACCGGCCATCTCACCCCGCCACCCCCTCCCTTTTTATATAGGAAATAATTAGTCCTGATATCCCAAGAATGCCACTGGTTATCCTTCTTATATACAGGAACACCCTTGGACAAGGTTAGGGTACCCCGCGAATGCTGTATTGCCTTTCTCTTACTTGGGAGGTGAGGCTGGTGGACTGCCGACCTGGTCAGTCTGTTCATAAATTTTTTTGGTTTCCTTTCGATGGGATTTTTTTTTCTTCTAAAACTTGTTAAAATTGCCAATGAATGTAATATTTTCATGTATTATATGAAATAATCACATTATCTGTCAACAGATGTATTTTATTTTATTTTCAAACAAGATAATTGAGATGTTAAATAATTTCAATTTGAGTTTGTGAAGATCAATACTCAAATAGGTTTGTGAGGAGTTTACTTAACATCAGATAGGTTTTGTGAATATTCAAAAGTCTAAGACTAAAACCTATCCACATAACTAGACTGCAATAATTTTGTTTAAAGAGATAGCTATCTAACTTCACCAAAACCAGGTTTAAAACCTTTCGAAATCTTAAGTAATGGTACAAGGATTGAAATCCTTCCTTGTTTAGCATAAGAAAAAATAATAATAAAATGCGGAAATTGGGGTTTGTTTATGATAAAAGCTTAAATTAATATATCATCAATGAAACAAGGTACAAACATTGGAGGGTAGGTGTTCTATGCATGTATTTATCACCTAGAGGCACTAAAAACAGAGGAGATTAATGCAACTAGGCCTATATTATTGCTAATTTTTGGGTTTAAGGTTTGGGTTTGAGACTTAATATCTTGTTTTGGAACAAGATGAATTAGAAAAGGACACGAAAACGGGGGAAAAAGAAAACACATTGAAGAAAATATCAATATCAAAGCCAATGAGGGTTGGGTTGATTAAAAGCCCATTGACGTATTCCATTCACAAACTGAGGAACAGCATTTATTATAACTTTTTATTATAGAATCAACAAAAATTAATGTGCATTTGGCATTTTGTTTGACTTAACTTTTTAGGGAAAAAAAATACACGGTTTTTATTATTATGTCCATGTGAATTTTATGTACAAGTAGAGAAATCATAATGACATATAACATTTCTCAAAGTTAATGAATAAATACCTTAAACTTATAATTTTTCTTTTTAATGAGTAAATTACATTACAAAATAATATAATATACTATTTTTGATGAAATTTTTCTCTTGAAAAAAAAATACTATTTCCGAATATACTATTTTTGATGAAATTAATTGTAGACCATTTTGTCGAATAAAAATAAATCGGTAATAATATTCTGTTAAAATAAAAAATCTCGTAACTATAATGATAAATTAACTGAAGAAAATTATATGTCAAAATAAAAAATCTTCTCAATTGTATTTTAAATTAATTCTTTGTAAACAAGAATCAAAGGCTCATATGCTAGCTACGAGTCGAGTAGTCAAGTGTGAATGGAATTAAAGCTGAAAACGCAAGTGACATCAAATATAAACCACTGCAGACTGATCCACAAACTTTAGTCTTAAAATTAAATGGGATTATAAAGGAATATATGGATGATTGAATCCTTCAAACTACTCTTTAATTAGAAGGTTGAGGCATTCTCGAAAGGATAGCGAAGTCAAATATTTAAAACCATACCCTTAATGCCTACAACGGCTGGCTGTTGATACCTAAAGATGTAGTGTTTAGGGACCAAGTGTCCTTCTAGACTTGGTCCCAAAGCACTACCACATTGATAACAGTGCATTAGCTGTCTGCTCGGGTTTCCGAAACATATACAGTACCAACAATGAAAGCTAAAGCTAATAAATAAGGGAACCAGCTAGCAGTAAACCAGTATTATCAATTAATCAGTCCTACAAAAATTGAAATTCCAACATGAATGATTAAATCGATGCATTAATATTTTTTGTGGCATTGCATGGTGCACGTGAATGATTTTGCTGTTGGTCTTGTTCCAAGAGAATCATGCTTGAGTTAATTTGTAATGTTTCAAATAATGTGCATGACATATATATAAATGCTTATTACTTTGGTGTTACAAAATTTCATATTGGATAGCTAAGTTCAGGGTCTTGAATTTATATACATGGATGTTGTAAATTTCAAAAGATTACCTTTTAAGGGTGAAGATAATGACTTTGTAATAAGTGGTGTCATAGTAAATTCAGACTTAATTCTTGTTTCACATCAAGCACCCCAATGGATGGAGGGCAAGATGATTTCGAAAGAATGTTACGATATCACATCAAGCACTGTAGTAGGTGAAGTAAGCAAGATGATTTAACTCGTAAAAATAACAACGTGGATTTGAATGATAAAGAAAGTTAGAAGTCTTGATATGTGAGTACTATACACCTTAATAAATTAATTTTTTGAAGAAAGCGTAAATGATCTCGTGACCCTAGTTAGCATGTGTACTTCAAATTTAATGCAATTAGCCCAAACTGTTGGAATGTTCTAATGATGTTGGATAAGGTGGCAAAATCGGGTATTATCAAATTTTTTTAATTAATTTTAGATTATGATTTAATTTGAATTTCTTATACACTAACGTTGTCTTTTAATTTGGGTGAGCTAAGTCGTTTACCAACAAATGATATAATGCAAATACTATATTATTCATTTGACGTGTCAGCCCCCACCCTCTTTTATCTCCCATGCATTCACACCATATAGGAGTGGCAAAGCTGAAATTCGTTCCCTATAAGAAGGCCAAAACAAGTAGAGCCGTATACAGATATACACTACTATAAAAAATACAAAATTTGAGGGAAAAAGTGGGCTGATTTTCCCGGTTGGAAAATTCAATGCCACGGCGGTTTAACAATTAAAAGTTCGTTGGGGTAGTTGCATCCTCCCATCGCTCTCCCTCGGCCCTTTAAATTGCTCCAACATCCTCCCACAATTTGCAACTCGGTAACTCTTTTCCCACTCTTTCCTTCATTTTCTTAGCATATTCGAAACCTAAAGAACGACCAATTTTTCTCGAGTTTCTTAGCACCAAATCTTTTGTTTCTTGATTTTCAGCAACTTGTTTGATCTGGGTTTTTGTTCAAGCTCCATATTGGGTTTGTTTTTTAGCAAAACGGATGGCAGCAGAGAGTAGGCAAAGCTCGAATGCCGAGCCTGTAAGGGTCCAGGCGGCTTCATCAGAAGAAAGAAGATCAAACAATCTCCCAAACTTTCTTCTTTCAGTAAGGCTAAAATATGTGAAGCTTGGTTACCATTATTTAATCTCCAACGCCATGTATTTAATGCTAGTGCCTCTCCTAGGCATTGCTGCTGCTCATCTTTCCACACTTACTTACCTTGACTTTGTTCAACTATGGGACCAACTCAAGTTCAATCTCGTCTCAGTAACCCTATGTTCAGGTCTTTTAGTTTTCTTGGCCACACTTTACTTCATGAGCCGCCCCAGGAAAATCTACTTAGTGGATTTTGCCTGTTACAAGCCTGAAGCTGATCGTACTTGCACCAGGGAGATCTTCATGGAGAGATCTGGTCTCACTGGAAGCTTCACTGAAGAGAACTTAGCCTTTCAAAAGAAAATCCTTGAGAGGTCTGGTTTGGGGCAGAAGACCT